AACGAGCATAATCTTCGTAACATGTCTTTCCACATCGGGAAACTAATTTTTACCAAATATACTTCTTTTGTTCCTTAAAGTTCTTCCATAACCTTTTTTTAAATATGGTTGATCATTATCTGCCGATATTAGCAATATTATCTAGCAAAAAAAGCTAAATTATCCCTATTGCAGATGGTGTTTTTTGGGGCAACTACACAAGCTTCATTAGAAGGCTGCATCTGGACCTACATCATATTCATTGCAGTTTAAAATGATGAAAAAATTCCCTCGGTCCATAAACAATAAATCTATTCTATTTTTGACATACAAATATTCAAATTTCAGAAAACATTTAGATTTTATTGCAATTTTATCATTTTTGGAAGTTTTTTCAAGAAATGCAATGCTTTGTTAATATAGCGCAATCAACATTTAAGTTTGCACTTGATTTGAAATCATGGTAATAATATTTTATAAGTTTTAGACCAATTTTAGGGAATAAAATGCCATACAAGTAACTGAAAATGGCATTTTGTGTAATTATAGCAAACATTTGGAATGCTCAGTTTAGACCTTTGACCTTGACTTAACGAAAATTGCACCGTACGAATTATTGACGACCGGGCAAAAATGAAAGTACAGGTAATAAGCTTTCGAATGATATATAATATAGCCGTATGTTAGGTGGGTGCATTAAAGTCGTTAACTAAGCGTCTTTTTGAAAATTGTCACTCGCCTATTAGGGATTGTGATAATCTCTTATCTATGCACCTGGCCATGAACTACATGTATGTGACCTTCATATTATGGTATATGGTCAATCTATCTAAACACCTTAACACAAAAAATGAATATTATATTACTCTAGGATTATTTGTTTCTAAGACTGCGCACGAGCAAGACGCTTGGTTATCCAAACAGTTCGAATCGCTTTCGTATAGCAAATGTAAAAACTATAATTTGATATGCTTGAGTTATGATTTCTCTAGTTTATATTTGTTTTAAAAAAATTCTTATCTACAGTATGTAGTGTGTGTATGTGAATTGATCACTATCATCGTCATTACTATTGCCGTCGTCGTCGTTTTAATCATCGTTGTCGTCTGACTATTATCATCATCATTAAAAATATAACACGACAATAGTTTTACACATGACGACGGATATGTTCCTAATGTCGTAACAACAATCCCGTCTTCTTTTCTCCGAATGTGACCTACCTAATTAGACATATCACCGGGTTTGTACTTGCACGAGCAACACGACGGGTGCACTTGTGGAGCAGAATCTGCTTACCCTTCCGGAGCAGCACACGAGATCAACCCCGGTTTTTTGCTGACTTCGTGTTTCTAAGTCTTTAGTTTTTATGTTGTGTTTTGTAAACTGTTGTTTGTCTTTTGGTCTTTTCCGTTGGGGTTTTTTTTTGTCGCCATTGCATTGTCAGTTTGTTTTTGACTTATGTTTTGGAAGATTCCTTTGGTTTCTTCCGTCTCTCTTTAATCAATTATATAGGTCAATTTGAATATAGTAACTTAATAGAAAAACAAAGGGTATGGAGTATCCATCCATGACACAAAATCAGTACATGCACAGCAAAAAAAAAAAAAAAAAAAAAACACAAAAAGCAAAGAAATAGCGCTTTTATTACTGTTCTTCATATCAAAGTCACAGTGAGGCCTTGAATATAGTAACTTGCATGAATTGTTGAGTAATAGTTTAAAAGAACTCGGGTATCGCGTCTGAAAGAAAACAAAATAAAAAAACCTACCTGTTAAACTAATCTCCTACAGGTATATTGAAATCTAATACCTTTATGTTCAAATATCGTAGTTACAGTTAATAATATATAACTAATCATTGATCCGTGCTTCGTATAAAAATACTTTCTTAACACTTCTGTCATCCATGCAAGATATGCATGATATAACTAAAACGGGATAATGTATTTTTTACTAAAATTGATAAGAAATTAAAGTACAAAATGTATGTTAAAACATTTTAAATTGTAATAAAACACATTTTATTTACTTCAATATACATAATGTATTTTATTTTTTTTACTATAATTATATTAATACGAACTTCAAATATTAGATTATAACATTTAGGATTTAGACTTTTACTTTTTTGCACTATGATATAATTATGTCTTTTTCGTTAAACAAGTTTACATTGTTGTTTAGGGGTTAGCTGAAGCCCGACTGCGGATGTGGGATTTTTTCGATGCGTTGAAGACCCATTGGTGGCCTCGGGCTGTTTCTTCTCTTTGGCCAGATTGTTATCTCATTAGGACATTCCCCGTTTATATTCTCTGTTCTGTACTTTATAAATGTAGAATACCGAGTTAAATTCACTGATGAATATTGAGTCTAACATACGGTGCACTGTCTATCTCCGTTAACTATAGACAAATGATAGGGTTGAATTCACTGATGAATAGTGAGTCTAACATACGGTGCGCTTTCTATCTCGGTTAGATACCGAGTTGAATTCACTGATGAATATTGAGTTCAACATATGGTGCACTTTCTATCTCCGTTAACTACCGAGTTGAATTCACTGATGAATATTGAGTCTAACATACGGTTCACTTTCTATCTCTGTTATCTGCAGAGTTGAATTCACTGAAGAATATTAAGTCTAACATATGGTCCACGTTCTATCTCGGTTAACTATAGAGTTGAATTCACTGATAAATATTGAATCTAAAATACTTTGCACATTCTATCTCAGTTAAATACACAGTTGAATTCATTGATGAATATTGAGTCTAACATACGGTGCAATTTCTATCTCGGTTAACTATAAGAGTTGAATTCACTGATGAATATTGAGTCTAACATACGGTGCACTTTCTATCTCTGTTGTCTACAGAGTTGAATTCACTGATGAATATTGAGTCTAACATATGGTGCACGTTCTATCTCAGTTATCTACAGAGTTGAATTCACTGATGAATATTGAGTCTAACATACGGTGCACTTTCTATCTCTGTTATCTACAGAGTTGAATTCACTGATGAATAGTGAGTCTAACATTCGGTGCTCGTTCTATCTCGGTTAACTATCGAATTAAATTCACTGATGATTATTGAGTCTAACATACGGTGCACTTTCTATCTCGTTTAACTATTGAGTTGAATTCAGTGATGAATATTGAGTCGAACATACGGTGCACTTTCTATCTCGGTTAACTATAGAATTGAATTCACTGATGAATATTGAGTCTTACATACGGTGCACTTTCTATCTCTGTTATCTACAGAGTTGAATTCACTGATGAGTAGTGAGTCTAACTTACGATGCACTTTCTATCTCGGTTTACTATGCTACCGAGTAGAATTCACTGATGAATATTTAGTCTAACATACGGTGCACTTTCTATTTCCGTTAACTATCGAGTTGAATACACTGATGAATATTGAGTCTAACATACGGTGCACTTTCTATCTCTGTTATCTACAGAGTTGAATTCACTGATGAATATTGAGTGTAACATACGGTTCACTTTCTATTTCCGTTAACTACCGAGTTGAATTCACTGATGAATTTTGAGTCTAACATATGGTGCACATTCTATCTCTGTTAACATTCATTAATTTTTATGATCTGGATTCCTTTTAAAGAGAGGCGGAAGATTCTAAAGGAGAACCAATGCTTATAAATCAAAAGAGAGGCGGAAGATAATAAAGGGAGGACCAATACTCATAAATCAAATATAGACTGACAAAATCAGGACAACAAACGACGAAAAGACAAAAAATAGTTGATTGTGTGCTGATTGATACTTTAGTCTTAGACGTGTTAGATACATGAATTTTTATTATTATTTGTTACTGGTTTTGAACTAATTGTCAATAACAGCGAGTACTCTCAGATCTGTACTTAGTATCTTTTTGTTGTTGAAGGGATGCACAAGTAAACTGCCACGCCCGGTCTGTGTTCTTCTGTTTTGTATCGATCTGATGAGTTAGGCCCTAGCAACTGATTTTTATAGTTTGTACATATGTTGTACTGTTACACCACTGTCCAACGTTGGGGCGAGGGGTAGACGCCCACGGGGAGGGTTGGACGCCCGCAAACATGTTTGAACCCGCCACGTTATCAATGTGCCTATCCCAAGTCAGGAGCCTGTAAATCAGTAGTTGTCGTTTGTTGCTGTATATGATATTTGTAGTTCGTTCATTGTTGTTTTTACTAAAATCAGGCCGTTAGTTTTCTCGTTTGAATTGATTTACATTTGTCATTTCGGGACTTTATATAGCTGAATACGCGGTATGGGTTTTTCTCATTGTTGAAGTCCATACGGTGACCTATAGTTGTTAACTTCTATGCCATTTGGTCTCTGGAGGAGAGTTGCTTCATTGGCAATTATACCTTATCTTCTTATTTTTATATTTTCTCTAAATTGTTACTGTATTTGGAGAATTGTGTTTTCGATGCACATTGTACGAGTACGTGCACAGCATGTATGTGTCTCTTTATTCCAAACTTCGAATTTCATTTTTGGGAATTTCTACTATAAGTGCCATTAAAATAATACGTTCAGATGATGGTATTGTCATTGACGGGTTGAAACTGTTTATTGAACCTCTATGTAGAAGTTTAATGTCCTACATTGTACGAGTAAAGTTATGTTAATTTGTACCAGCTAATATTTAAATATATTGACAAAAAGTAATGAATTATGATACGTAAGTATGTTTAAGTACGCCTAAGTACGTCTAAGTACGCCATAAAAAAGTTCTGTGACACCTTATAATCATGATTATCCATATCAACCTTGACTAAATGGTTATTTTTTCCCATATTGCAGATTAATATTTCAATATTTTAACAACATTTTCTAATTTATCATGCACACAATTGGTAATGGCAACTAGTTAAATAGAAAATAAAGTGATATAATTGTTTGAACTTACCATTATTGCCAAACATTATATGCATTAATCGGATAAATTTGTACGGACTGGATAAATAATGTGTTACCTCTTTTGATGAACATTGTGTGTTTAAAGGACCATTCTATGCAGTTTATTGCTCCATCTAAACAATATGGGTCCGAGGAGAGCTTGGGCAATACTGTTCAATGCATTGGTGTTCTGTGCACTTCAATATGCACAGGTAAGTGACTTTTAAGGAAACATAAGTCTGACTTAAATCACCGACACGTTTTCGTTATCTATTTTCATAAACATATTCTAAGCTTCTAAGTTACTAAGCTTATTTTTATTCTGTTTCATTCGAATGTTTAAAAATCATTATAGAAACTGACTTTTACAAACGATTTTTTGATATAACGAGTTATGTCTCATAACACATTATATACCCCTTAACTAGTTGTCCTAAAAGGTACCTAATACAGCACATTATCAATTAACTTTCCAAGTTCAGTTACTGATCATTAGGAAGGACACATTCAACCGAGTATGCTGAATACTAGGGATAAAAAAAACAACCCAGACTGAGACGTCGACAAGCTTACTGAAAATTACAATATCACAGCTTTATACGTTTAATTTGAAGTTCTTACCAAATAATTTTAAATTTATGAAGTTGATTATGCAGGTTGACCTTCAAAATTGCAACAAAGAGGAAATAACTCTTGTTCAAAATAAGTAAAATGAACATAATATATTTGACGTTAATAATGAAAATGCCCAATTCACGTGTATAACGATAGAAGTAAACATTCGACTATCTCATATACTATAAGAACACTGAAAGACCCCTTTTCAATTATTCAGCATGCTTTAAAAAGGTATATATCTGAAAAATGCAAAGACACCAACAAGGCCACACAATGAATGTATTACATTGAGTTTAGTACGTACGTGCTGTAACCTTTATCAATACAAACTGTCTCGATGTATGTTCTCTTGGTAGCGTGTTCGCCTCGAGTACGGGAGGTCGTGGGTTCGAACTCCGACCGGGTCAAACCAAAGACTTTAGAATTAGTATTAACTGCTTCTCCGCTAACCACGCGGCATTAAGGAGTAAGAGCAAAGACTGGTGGGCTCGGAGTCAGAATAATGTGTCCGAGTTAGGTGACATTTCTTCCTGCGGACTGTTACATTGTTAACTAGCAAGGAAAAAAATTAGGCTCAGCGTGTCGGTTTAGTACAAAGCAGGATTAATATATATATTACATTAACATGTTCTCGTCCTGAAAATGCATATTAATTTGACAGTGGACGTTAAGCAGCCATCCATCATCATCATCTTTATCAATAAAAACGTAAGTCTTGGGAGATAATCTAATAATCTATAATAATCTAGAGAAATGCAACATAGATAAAAGTGAAAAAGACGACGTAAAAGTTCCCCGACCTTACATTCTGTCTCAACATCATAGCAAAAACTCTACGGAAACTCATTCGCCACGTCACAAACAAAGTTTTATACGGTAATTCACTGTACAGATCAACATGTTTACTGTCAATGAATTAACATTTCGCAAATTGCACAGTTGCATTTTAATTTTGATCATTTTTGCTTTCCAGCTTTACGATTCATAGCGTTATAAAGTTGTTGTGCATACTGAAATCGATGCCATACATTTATTTGATGGCCATATTATTATCTCTACGTCGCCCGCTTTAAACAAAACAATGTTTAATTGTTCACTCGTTATTACATTTTGATGGACGGATGGATGTTTGGTGTTTAACACCATTATCAACACTGTTGGGTTTTTTCGTGGCGGTCAGATTTTATGGGTGAAGTAAGACGGAGTTCCCGAATAGAACCACCGACCTACGGTAGAAAAAACTGACAGTCCTTGTCATTGAAGATTGTAGTCGAATGCACCTACAACGTACAGGGCTCGAACTCACAAACTCAGTGTTAACACGCTAGTGGTACAGTAGTTCACTTTCAAATATTCGGCTTTGAGCGTTCCTGATGAAGGTTTTGTGTTTTCACCAGACAAAAATTTTATTAACTTAAAAGTTGATTTTAAGTGTTCTAAAATTACGCTCATATTGCAGTGGAAATCTACCTAAATCAAAGTAGACACATTTGAGGTCGTTCTTTTGACACTTAATGACATTTTTCAGTAGTCTAAATGGACCTTTTCTATCATAGGAGATTTGTGTACTCCCCATATATCGCACCAATACATTAATATACTACTAACATAAGTATCATACAGACTAAGCACTATAAAAATATTTAAACATAGAAATGAAGTAGTTCTCCTCATACCGAACATATCTTTTCTACCTTGTTCTGCACAATGTTTCTGTGTATTAAGAAATTTGCAATTATAAGGCAGTAATACATGTACATCTAAATAACAAAATTGTTCCACAATATCCATTGTTTGATTGTTATAGACCCATGTCTCATTAGGCCGTACAATCCCACCCTTCCGAAATACAACAATTTTTTGTTTTCATTGTATTAACAGACAAGCCCCATTTTTCTGTGAAAAATTGACAAAGTATTCAACATTTCCAGTAAACCTTCTACTGTTTCAGACATCAAAATCATATCATCAGCATACATCAACAAAAATTATGTTATATCTTAAAACTCTAAGGCACAATTGCCATTAGCAATAAATTCATTTTCAAAATCATTCACATAGAAAGAAAATAAAATAGGAGAAAGGACTTCCCCTTGCATTAAACCAAGGTTGTTACAAAAGTAATCAGAGTTTAGCCCATTGAATCTAATACAGGTTCTAACATTACTATACATAGATTTTAAAACAGTTAATAGGTTTCCCCTGATACCTTATTTGGAAATTTTGTACCATAAACATAAACGATCAATTGAATCAAAAGCTTTTAAGTAGTCACAAAGCAACAATATAATCTTTTATTTTTTTTACAGAGTGTATTTTGAATAACAGAGTATAAACAAAAAACAGCATCAACTGTACTATAACCATCATGAAAACCAAACGGTGCTTCAGATAATATATCATTAAGAGTTGCACAATTTAACAATGTTTTATTTAGTATTGTGGTGTAAAGGTTGCTGACAAGGCTTATATCACGATAGTTTGCTTCACCAGATTTGAAAATTGGTACCAAGATAGCATCTGACCATGCTGATTGGAAATATCCACTATTTAATACGGCGTTAAAAATAGTACATAAATGAGGCATAATAAAATCATTGTATTCAATGAAAAATTCATTCAGCAAACAGTCTGGATCATGGTTTTTGTCACTTTTAAGTTCATGAATTGCCTTTAAAATTTCATCAGCAGTAATATCTGCATCTAACTCATCAAAACACAGTCGTTTTTAATCATTTCAAGTCTATTGTTGCTAATCGGCACACTTGATACAAGTTCTTTGAAATATTCAAAAAAGTCAGTAATGTTTAAATCACATTTCCTCTGATTTTTTTTTCCTAAATAATGCATAAAATTTTCTTGGATTGTCTTTCTTTAGTTTACACAACATATAGCCTTCCTGTCGTTTGTAACTACGTTTGAGCGTACATTCATAATTCTTATAACCTTTTTTGGCACTGTGCAAATCAATATGACTATTATATGTGTTTTTACAGTTAAAAGTATGTAATCTTTTACAGTATTCAGCATATAGCTCTTTACACTTCTGGTAAAACCATGGTTTATCAGTATTTATTCTCTGTGTTTGGCACTTGCGCTTTAAGTTCGATTTTACTTTTGGCATTTGTTTAAAGAAAGGAGCTGTCACATTTGCTAAGCACTGAGTGAAGTTATTTACGCACAAGTCCATACCATCCTGAGACAATATGTCCATGTTATCTATTGTTGAACTAAAATCATCCGCATTAACTAGTAGGGCATTATAACATTAGTCCCTAAATTCATTATTCCATTTATAAAATTGAGATTCTTCACCATTAAATGTGAATTGATATCATTGCATTGCATAGAAAAGTCAGTTTTAAATTGAACATGTAGGGGTGCATGATCACTGTATGTGGTAAAATTACTTGTAATAAATTTTAAAACTTTTCCAATGTTATTTGGCTTAGCTAACAAGTAGTCGTTTACACTCATACCTCTTGTGCCGCTGTATGTAAAATCATCTGAAAGTCCATCAGGGTGACGCCCATTTATAATTCTAAGTCCACTGCTCTTACACAAATTTGGTAGTTTTGTTCCATAGTCGTTAGTTCCTGCATCTGGGTTATTACGGCATGACAAAGCCTCGTCAGCAACATATGTAAACAAATCACCAACCCTATCTAAAATACTATCATGTAATTTATCAATTTGTACAAAATCATTCATATTAGTAGTTCTAGCATTGAAATCACCAACAACAAAAACATTTGGACATTCAGCTAAGTAATGTATCATTTGAGATTCAAGCTCACAAAATAAATCACAATTATGAATCCTATAAAAGGATGAGTTCTGTGGTGGTATATATAGATTTGCAATTAAATAGTCACTTTCACATCCAGTCATTTCTTTAGCTATCTTTATCCAAATCAGTGTTTCATATGAAATGTCAATTATTTTAACATATGGTGATAATATTTTTCTTATCATTACATACATACCACACCCTTGATTATACTTTTTTCTAGATAAAGGGATAGATTTACACACAAAATCATCAATTTCAATATCACATGTATTATTGATCCAACATTCTGATAAAAACATAATATAATAAGTACAAATAAAATTTTTAAATTTCTCATCTTTAATTTTTTCTTCAAAACCACCATTTATTTTCCAAGATAAACATTAAATTTGTAATTAAAAATCCGACGATTCCATTTTCATTCATGACATCGGCACCATCATGATTTTAACTTTTATGTAAAACATTTCCTGTATCACTAGATACATTTAATTTTTCCCTTTTCGCATTTTCAATAGCAACATCTATTGGGCCACCTGAATAGAATACACCTCCAATAAACAATTTATCCATAATAAGCACTGCTTTTACATCTGAATCACGAGCTTTATTAAGATAGGGAGTGATTTCCTCTTTCCCACAACAGATTTTAGATATTGATCCGTAATTGAAATAGTCGAACCTTTCAACTTGTAACTCCTTTTACGAACACCGCCCCGTTTCTGTCTATCACTGAATTTTACCAATATAGGCCGTATACTTTCCTGGCCCTCATTTTGACTCACTACCTCATTGTTTTACCTAGACGAAAGGCAGTTTTATGTTTAATTCATCATCAATTTCTAGATTGTTTTCACAATGTTTTTAATGATAATAACACAATCTCTTTCACTTTCCTTTATTCCATGAAAAAAGTAAATTATCGCGCATGGATTCACACTTGATAGATTCAAGATCATTGTTGAGTTTTTCATTTGCTTTGACAATTTTCTGAAGGTTGACCTTTGAATCTGACAAGTTTTTAGAGTCACACTTAATGGATATCATATCATTGCGCAAGGCTTCACACTCTGATGCAAGTTTTTTAATATCAAATTCTATCTTTTTGTTTGTTTTCTCATGCATTTTAACGTTTTCATTAAATGATTTGGCTATACAGTTTTGGCTTGTTTATACATCAAGTGCACGTTTGGAAAGTTTATTTATATAACCTTTCATTTCACTCAATTGATAATCAACACTGCTAACTGCGCATTTTATTTCGATCATCAATACTATTCATTTTAACTGACATAACTTCGAATCTCGATAACAGTTTGGTAGCCCATTGTGGGGTTGCCGGGACCGCTTGCGTTGGTGTGGGGCAGAGCATATATTGCCCGTTTTGGAATTGCTGCGTGGGCGAAGTTACAAAAGCCGATGACATCATAGGCATGGACCTGTTGTAAAAATTAGTGTTATTGTTCATGTAAGGTTGACCATTCATATTATTGCTTAATGGAAATGTTTGTTGTGAATTTGTAATGTCGGACAAATCAAACGCACCCAGACTTGGCTCGTCTTTGTTTTTACTTTTTGTAATCTACCTGTGTATCAGTTTTAGTTTTAAAGCATGGCATTAATAGATAATTAAATTTCATGTAACAGTTTATATTTCAGAAAATTTAAAACGTAACTTGATTTTGAGATCCCTTTTTTCGTTTCAACAGGAGTGCCAAAATATACAAACACCTGAATTTCATTTGATACGGTCCACTTATTTACACAGTTTAACTCACTTCTTTTGTGCAGGTATCTATTGTTCATCTATTGTCCATGTCAATTTAAACAACTCACTTAAATTATTACACAAGGGAGCATCTCAAACATTTTTCCATACTTAGTTTATTTTTGCACCTTTTTGGGAAAGGAAAAGAAGTTATCTCAAAATCAATAAAAGATTATAATTTTCTGAATTATAAAATACATTTAAGAATTGATTATCTAGTTCCTGTCATGCCTTAAAACTTTACCAGATGCACAGTTTTGTCTGTACACTGAATACAATTTGTGTTGTAAATACGGCCATATTTGCCAAAAGGTAATGATGAACCTTAAAGAAATATAATCGTGAATTTTCTTTGAGCTATGTTCGAAACCCTCTTCAAATGATTGGCATAGGTTTGCATTCTATATGGTTTAAAGCCTTGTACAAATGAAATTTATTTGTAAGACAATTTGTGTTTTTCTATACCTATGAATATACGAAAAATCTTTACACAACGGGCCCCGACATTCATGTTTAGTTTGTTTATGAAAATTAATGACCCGATAAGGCAAAATTAAAAGAAAAATGCACGATAAAAACCAAACAGGAAAATGTTTGATTTTACACATTCAGAAATTTTAATAGATATAAGTTATGAAATGTTTACAGTTACTGACTGTGATTTCATGAACCCAATTAATTAGAGGAAGAACTATTATGTATTTGTAGTACGGTGGATGCGAATTTATAGTGTACTTTTATATATATATATGCATGTGTTCGAATCCCGGCCAGGGAAATTTTCAGATCTAACATTGTTGGGCTGTTATTTAGACGAATTATATATCAGACAAGCGAAAGGTCAAATCATATTCAAATTAACTTTATAATTTGATACAGAAATAAAAAAGAATGCTTAGTACACTTAAACAAACGAGTTTTTAAAACAATAATAAACACAATATGTATTTTTAGGCATCTTATGGTAGAAGTAAGAGCAGATGTCCAGCTTTAAATCCAGATATCAGATGCATACATCATTTTAATCAATGCCACCAAGATCATGAATGTGGAAAAGGTAGGTATAATTAATAAATATGTTTCTCTAATTCTTTGACAATTTATACCTTTCTGCACTCATTGTATAAACAAATTTAATCAACGTGTGGTTGCCGGTGATCTCAGAAGATGATTGGATGAGTTTAAGGGTCATAACCTTAATCAGCTAACTGAATGAATCAAAATATGCTAACAGGTGTTAATGAAATTGACAACTTTGTGAAATGTGGAAGGCACTCGAAGGGGATTTTCGTATAAAAAACATTAAAATTTAATTTTTTAATCATTAGAGAAACAGATTCTTACATAGTTACTCGTGGATTATCGGATTTATTCAATCTCGATAGTTAAATTATAAATTTTAAAGTCCTCGCCGAGGCTCGGACTTTAAAATTGATAATTTAACTATTTCGATTGGATAAATCCGATAATCCACTGGTATCAATGTAAGAATCTATATATATATACGTGTATTTATAAAGTAACTACTAGTATATGAAGACAAACAAACAAACATTATAAGTGATCTCATCATGGAAATCTTCAAACCAAAGTTAGATCGGAACAAGAACGACAACTGATTATTTTTAAAAACTGCATGTACACGTTATATATATAACATGTCGTCTTGTTGTTTTTGTCGTTCAGTAACGGTCTGACGTGTACTCAACTCATTTTAATCACAAAATGAAAACTCACCCGATAAAATTAATGTGTCAGCAGCGCTTTTTTGGATTAACTTTCATCAGTTAGGCTGAAAACAAAACCAATTGAAAGCCGCGGATGTTGGTGTAGAAATATGAAAAAAACGACGTATACAGCTTTGCGCAAGGGAGTATTATCCATAGTTTCGAATTCTAAACAATTGCATACTTTATCAACAGAAAAGTTACGAATGTAATCTTTATAGATCATGCCATTCATAGCTGTGGACATCCTCGGGAAATAACTGTCCACCAGCAGCGGTATCCACAGTACTGGGAAATGAATCTTTAAACGCTCAAAAACTTAACATTTGAAAGCCGGTGATCATCAGTATATATGTCAATCGCATTTATATCAGCACAAAGAAAATGATGTGTCTAATAAAGGTATACGAGACAGCTTTGATAAACTTATTAGTTAACGAACGCCCGATCTTTTTAGTCTATTACTATTGCTTGTACGCTTTGTATTCACAAAATGTGTTATTTTTATCCAGCAATGTTAACAGAATATTCTCGGATCTTTTGTTACGAAAACAAAATACTGTGACTAGTGCATTGTAGTGTTCTGGTGTACATTTTACTGCACACATGATCGAGTATAGTTTTTCATATTGACAACATCAAAACTAATAAAAAAAAAAACATGCTTACGCTAATTTGTTGATTTTGATATTTTCTTTATTCGTTATAAATTTATTTTCAAGGTCAGATTTGCTGCACAAAAGAATGCGGAAATGAATGTGTTAACATTGTTGTAAGTTTGTTTGTTGACCTAATTCTATGCTGGAAAGTTTACGATGTAAATTTATATTAAGGTTTATTTTGGTTTTGACAACCCCAGTTTTCAAAATGCCAGTAGACAAAGGTGCAATGTTATGAAAAAAAAAAAGACCAAAAGACAAACAACAGCATGCAACAGTATACAAAACACAACGTAAAAATATGAAGACTAAGCAACACGAACCCCACTTAAAGCCAATTCAGTTCATTTCGCCAGTGTTTCAGAAAGATTCAAATGAGACTTGATGACACACTTTTTTTTCAAAATGTGCAACTGTACCAATCTTTGGTTGCAAAAACCACAAGCAAATCAGACCATGAACGGTTTTGTCTGAATTGTTCATGAGATTTCTATGTTGTCTTTTTTATTAATTTTAAGTGTTGTATTTCTAAATTTTAGCCCAGGTCGCAATAATGAATTTTTGAATTATTCATTTTGAATGATAACACTTATGTCTTTTGTATTAGGAATCTTCGTTTTGTATGATAGAAATAAGAAGATGTGGTATGAATGCCAATGAGACAACACTCCATCCAAGTCACAATGTATAAAAAGTTAACAATTAAAGGTCAAAGTACGACCTTCAACACGGAGCCTTGGCTCACACTGAACAGCAAGCTATAAATTGCTCCAAAATGACTATTGTAAAACAATTCAAACAGGAAAACCATCGGTTTAATCTATATACGAGAAACACTTATGAACCACACCAACAAACGACAACCACTGAAACAGGTTCCTGACTAAGACTGAGTGCGCATCTACTATCGCCTTTTTCTAATGAATAAATGATGCTTCTAATAAGATTTTTGGAACTACAAAACAAATTGGCATATATGCACCTTAATGGTACTTCAGTCTGTAGATACCTTTATTTTGGCATTGCACAAGGTCATGTTTTTTCTCTGAATGTTAATGACGTCTTTACACTAAATCCATTGGATGTTGGATGTGTACTGATTGATATTTTAGTCTTAGATACATGTGTTTATGTTTGATGTTTTTCTTCTTTGTATCGATCTGAGGAGTTAAACCTTTTTCAACTGATTTTTATAATGTGTTCTTATGTTGCACTGTTACACCGTTGTCTCAGGTTAGGGGGAGGGTTGAGCACTCACAAACATGTTTAACCCCGCTACATTTTTTATGTGCCTGTCCTAAGTCAGGAGCCTGTAGTTCAGTGGTTGTCGTTGGTTCATGTCTGTCATATTTGTTTGTCGTTAATTGTTTTGCTATAAATTACACCGTTAGTTTTTTCAAATCAATTTTTTCATAATTTTCGTGTCAGGTCCTTTTATAGCCGACTATACGGTATCAGTTTTTCTCATTGTTGAAGACTGTACGGTTGCCTATAATTGCTTACATCCACTTTATTTTAACCTTGGTGGATAGTTGTCTCATTGGCAATCATACCCCATCTCCTTATTTTTATATGAGTATTATTGCATACATAAATATTGTTTATCTAAATGAAATATCTCCTTTTCAAACACAGAAACACAGACCCGAAAGACACGAGATTGCACCCGGTAAGTATAAAATTGCAGCAAAATGGGATATTGATTATATCAAATAGTTAAGATTCTTTTGAATTGCTCTTGATTTAGATCCCGTCTTAAAGCCTGCAAGGTAAAATTTAACTGTGGGTGGATGGGATCGCCATCATTTATTTGACGTCTAGCTTTGTATATTGTTTTTATCTTACATTTTTTGTTAAAAGGCAGGAATAGATTTGCAATTTGCAATATACAAAATTACAGTGATTGAAATAAATTATATAAAATAGTCAGATTTTGAAACACAATCTAATGTTTAAGTACCAGTCTGCCTAAGGAGTACCATATCCATCCTTTCCTCTCAGGCATATCCCTAGGTTGTATGGGTGTTTAAACAAACGAAGTATGATTGTGTAAGGTACAATAACTTAATTAAAATACTGCATCGCCAGAAAAGGTTGAAAGACTACATATTTCATTGTCTGACAACATGCATGACATCCAATAAAAAAACACGAGCCAGAAGCTTACATCTGAAATTTGTATTTGTATAAAATTGAGAATGGAAATGGGGAATGTGTCAAAGAGACAACAACCCGACCATAGAACAGACAACAGCAGAAGGTCACCAACAGGTCTTCAATGCAGCGAGAAATTCCCGCACCCGGAGGCGTCCTTAAGCTGGCCCCTAAACAAATATATATACTAGTTCAGTGATAATGAACGCCATACTAAACTCCAAATTGTACACAAGAAACTAAAATTAAAAATAATACACGACTAACAAAGGCTAGAGGCTCCTGACTTGGGACAGGCGCAAAAATGCGGCGGGGCTAAACATGTTTATGAGATCTCAACCCTCCCCCTATACCTCTAGCCAATGTAGAAAAGTAAACGCATAACAATACGCACATTAAAATTCAGTTCAAGAGAAGTCCGAGTCTGATGTCAGAAGATGTAACCAAAGAAAATAAACAAAATGACAATAATACATAAATAACAACAGACTACTAGCAGTTAACTGACATGCCAGCTCCAGATTTCAATTAAACTGATTGAAAGATTATGTCTTCATCATATGAATATCAGGCACAATCCTTCCCGTTAGGGGTTTAGTATCATACCATCATAACATATATGAGAAGAACATAACCCGTGTCATGCCAACAACTGGTTTTTAAATAAATGTGTTTAGTGCCGATGCAAAGACCCTATAAGTGAATCAATATTAACACCAAAATATGCAATCTTTAATGACCTGACAACAGTATCGTAACTATATCCCTTCTTAATAAGTCTATTTAAAGGTTTTGTTAGCTTCAGAGGTGAATACTGACATTTTTGTGCTTTATAAAGAATATTTCCATAAAAAATTGGATGTGAAATACCTGAACGTATAAGAAGTCTGCATGTTGAGCTATATTTACGAATGATGTCCTTATACCGATGATAAAATTTAGTAAATGTTTTGACTAGTTTGTGATATCGAAAACCCTGGTGTAATAATTTTTCAGTAATACATAAATTTCTCTCGTTAAAATCTAAAACATTGTTAAATACACGAGCGAATCGTACAAGTTGAGATATATAAACACCGTAAGATGGTGACAAGGGAACGTCACCATCTTAAAATGGATAATTAACGATAGGAAATGAAAAATCATCTCTTTTATCATATATTTTAGTATTAAGCTTTCCATTAATGATATAGATATCAAGATCGAGGAAAGAGCAGTGGTCATTGTTAGTATTAGCATTATTTAAAGTAAGTTCAACAGGATAAATTTCTTTAGTATACATACTGAAGTCGTCATTATTGAGAGCCAAAATATCATCCAAATATCTAAAAGTATTATTAAATTTGTTTATCAGATGTTGTTTCGATGGGTCTTTGCTGGTTTTTGTCATAAATTGTAACTCATAGCAATACAAAAAAAGGTCCGCAATAAGTGGTGCACAGTTAGTCCCAATTGGAATTCCGATAACCTGACGATATACGGAATCTCCAAAGCGAGCAAAAATGTTATCTAGTAAAAATTCAAGGGCATATATAGTATCAAAGCATGTCCAATTGACATAGTTTTTTTGTTTATTGCTACTAAAAAATGACCTAAAAGAGTTTGAACATATATATTCACATTCTGACTTTTTAAATGCCCATTTAAATAGGTGTGTGAATTTTTTCTTAATGAGAAAGTGAGACTTCCAACGAGTTCTTGACACTCCAAAAGTAATTAATTCCACTATTTTCGAAGGCCTTATTTGAACAATTTATCATCAGGTTTTTGATTGTACCAAGTGTACTGGTAAGAAGAATAGACAATGTAGTAGTGGAACAATGGCTTGAAGACGAAATGAATCTATATTTGTAAGGTGTTTTGTGTAGCTTCGGAAGCCAATACATAGTTGGGACTTTCATTGTATTTGGTTCTGCTTGTAGAGCGGTAGCTAAAAGTTTATGTTTGTTACAGATGTCGTTTTCTGAAAATGGAGTCGGTTGGAATGTTGGTGAATTGGTGATTTCTTTTTTCAGAACCTCAATGTAAAATTTACGTCAAACAATAATAATATTATTAGCAGCTTTATCGGCCGGGACAAAAACAAATTCCTTGGCTAGTTCTTTTAGTTTATGTTTGATACGAGAAATAGGTTTATTGTAGTTATTGTTAAGAGTAAAATGTTCTTTAAAATGTTGAATACGTATATCAACTATGTTCATTACTGATTTAAAAAAAGAGTCCAAAGATTTTTTGTCAGCTTTTTCCCGTTTTATCCATTTCAAACAGTAAGTATGGAGTGAGTCGTGGATGATATTACGACACTCATTCCAATTTATAATTGACGGGGGACGATATTTAGGTCCTTTACTGAGGAATGATTTTAACTCTCGGTCTTGAACGATGTTAAGATCTCCTGTTAAAACATGGGAAATGGGTCCATAAATGTATTCGGAATTACTGCAATTACATGAAGTAGGTGTATTTTCACTGATATTAACATTTTTACACAATTGGCTATAATTAAACACAAATTTCCGAGTAGATTTCTTGTAAATATAACAAATAAGAGGGAGCTCAGTATTATCAAAATATCCCGGAATTTGTTCTCTAACAGAATGGTCGTTAAAAATACCGGCAATATTTACAAAATCAAAACCTTTATTGACAGACTTTATTTTAATAAACTGTTTTTTATGATCTTCAGGGCGATCAATTTTGGGAAACAGTTTAGAATAACAATATGCCATTATAATTTGAACGATTTCATACTTATGACTGCTATATGAAATTGTGTTGCAATCCTCTAAAATATTTTTTAACTTATTAACCGGTAATGAACAGAGCTTTGTTAACAGATAATGTCTGCCGTTGTTTTTTGAAATAGAAATTAGGTCCGAAATATTGGTATGATTGGTCCGAAATTTTCTTTGATTGCGATTTTTTCTACGACCATGAGAACGGTTTTTACGAACAGTTTTAAAAACTATATCTAAAATGTTAACAGAATCGGTTCTTGATATATTACCAATTCCCATGATATTATCATTAAGACCGAGAGGGTAGACTGTCTGTAATTTTTTAATCCAATTTAATTCAATTATTTTCCGCGATCGTACAAACTTTGAATGAGATTCACCAGGCTGCTTATTTACTACTTCTAAAGGTTGAACAGCTAAATATTTAATAGGATGATTGTGCTTCTTAAGGTGTTGATAAATGATACTTTTGAATTTATTGGGTCTTTTAAAACGATACAGATGTTCTTGAGTGCGTTTAGATAAATATCGTCCAGTTTCACCTACGTACTGAATACCGCATCCCGGTTTGTTTCATGTGAGTAAATAAATTATACTGTTTGTTTTTCAAGTTATATCAGTTTTAAAATTTAAAGAAAATGTGCGACCATTAAACGTGGACCTTACCGTAATGTTGGTGGAAAGACGGGGACATGTAAGTCATTTTTTGGCATGACACTTATCGATAAAAGGGTAACCACGATTTTTATTGTTAAAAATGTTAGCGATGGTAGTATTTTTAGATAAGCGATTTTGAAGATTGAGACGTGTAGATACCCTTTGAACGAGTTTAGTATTTAATATTTTTCCATTTCTAAGCTTCATATTTGTTTTTTGTTTGTGAATTATATTAGAAAGGAGCAAAGACTGGCGTCCAGAATATGAACCAGCATACAATGAATTAAATTATGTAAAAATGATAAATCTGTTCGGCTAAATATGTCAAACGCTATCGTATTTATCTTTACAATCATTGTGATTGTGCTTTTCTGGTAAAATAAATGCAAATTAATTGCAATGGAAATTGGCTGAATTTACAAAGAATATATAATAAAACAAATAGAACATCGAAGTGCCAATACATTTTACTGCAATAATTTTAAACAAATGTAATTATACATTTCAATTTTTATTGACTAAAGACATTTTATTTTGTGGATGAGATGAATACTCCAAACATGTTATGATTTGGAAATTTAGGAATTTGCCTGTTTCTTAAACACACTGCCAATTAATTTTAAATGTATTAACTGTGAAATCTCATCTGTGATAGAAAATGCTTAGTGTATACATTTAAGTTTTTTTCCACAATAGATAGAGAGACAAAGGATACAAAAGAGACATTCAAACTGATAATTCAAAAATAAACTGACATGGCTAAAAAAGAAAAAGACAAACAGACAAACAACAGTACACAAAACAACACAAAAAAAAAAAACCAAAGACTGAGCAACACGGACCCACCAAAAACTGGGGGTGATCTCAGGTGCTCCGGAAGGTTTAGCAGATCCTGCTCCACAAGTGGCACCCGTCGTGTCATCTCTATTTACCAAAATGCAAATCTTATTGTCTTCATACAGATCTTGTGTCCACACTTTGCAACTTTGCACAGTTCTACTTTCTGTTTCAAAGCTCATTCGAAATCATCTGGTTTTGTCGTAATGATGATCACATTCAAAATTTGATGCTTAAAATTGCATTTGCAGCATTAATCATTTCCAGAACAGAAAGTAAAATGAAGAGATGTCAGATCACTGGAAGCAATGCGTGGACACTGGATCTGGATCAAAATTTTTTCTGATTTAAAGGTTTCAATAAAGTCAAACAATATTAAAACAAATTAGGTAAAAAGAGAAACAGGAGAAACTAATGGGATATCAAAGCTCATAAGTCGCAGACAAACCTACAACAGCATGGCAATAAAACGGAAAACAATTAAGTAAATGACATATTACATAATTATACCCGGCCATCTTTAAAATTGCAATAACAATGCTTATGCTTTCACCTGCAGTGTGTATCCTGCCTAAAGATCTAGGACCTTGTAGAGGAATCTACGTTCGATATTATTACGATTTAAACTCGGGAAAATGTTTAGAGTTTGCATATGGTGGTTGCCGAGGTAATGGAAATAGGTTCAATACCCAGGAAGAATGTATTAGCACGTGCACAAAAGGAGGTATTTCATATATAAATTTAACGTAACAGAAACTAATCGCATTGTTAAAATAACTATAAACATCATAAAAAGGTCAAAGGAGATATATACCTCAATGATACAACACCAATGATACATTACACGTGAACTACAAAGACACCACGAGGTTACCATAAGATGTTCATCTGTAAAAAATAAACATCAAAACGACACGTAGTGGTAGTATGTAAATGACACAACATCCATGAGACACTACAGGTTTATCAAAGAGACATCACCAGGTCGCCATATTAGACCGTTGGTTTTCCTGTTTGAATTGTTTTACACTAGTCATTTGGGGCCCGTTAAAGCTTGCTGTTCGGTGTTAACAAAGGCTCCGTGTTGAAGGCCGTACTTTGACCTATAATGGTTTACTTTTACAGATTGTGACTTAGATGGAGAGTTGTCTCATTGGCACTCATACCACAACTTCTTATTTCTATATATGAAGTCCACAATAAGAAATCACCGAGCAGTTTAACATTTTATAAACAAGTTGAAAAAGTCAAATACAACTGTGAGTTTACATATTTTAACTATTAAAGATAAGATAATTATGGCTTCTATTTTGTAATGCACTGATTTTAAGTCTTATACTAGTACATGCTTTTTATCCAGTGACTATACCCTCAAAGTGTCCAATAGACAGATTTCCGCATTGTTATGGAAAATTAAACAGAAACTGCCAGGATGACTCATCGTGTCATGCCGGCAAAAAATGCTGTAAGCTTGGATGCTACTATGGCTGTGTTAAACCTGTTAAACAACGACGACGACAACAACAACAACAGCAACAACAAATAAAAAAACAAAAAGTATCCTATGGATAAAAACAACAACAACAACAAAAAGTATCCTATGGATCTTATAAGCTATACAACTGATTAAATATTAAATTATCAGATTATGCGTTGAACTTTTCTATTGAATAGTCTATTTGCCTATTCGGTAAATGACACTGTAATTAGAGATTCATTTTAAAGTTACTCAACTTAGGATAAAACATGAATTTTCATTGACAATAATTATAAAAGAGCTAGCGAGAAGACCAAATTTATCTGTGTGTAATGAGTGTTACCTTGAAGTTTTTCAATGTTTTATTCCGTCTAATTTTTAATTCAGCTAAAAACTTTTGATATAAATAGTTTAAAAGAAATATAATTTAAAATTGGTTAACCTTTTCTCTGCCTAACTTGAAATTTGAACGGAAAACTCATAAAGAAGCGTAACAATGCAATGCGTCATGCAATTGTTTTCGTATTGGAACTCTTCTGTTTCGACGGTCGGCGTTTGTCGATTAGATTTCTTTATGCTCATGCTTTCCAAAAGTTCTTCCAACATGTTTGTTTGTAACAAAATACTTTCGCCAACTCTAAAAGAACAGTCAATAAAAGCAAATTATTGGCGACCAGTTTATATTTAGCATTCTTATTGCTAATATATATATATTATATATATATATATATATATGTAGAAAGTAAAATAACAAAAATACCGAACTCCAAGAAAAATTCTAAACGGAAAGTCCCTTATTAAATGGCAAAATTAAAAGCTCAAACACATCAAACGTATGGAAAATAACTGTCATATTCCTGACTTGGTACAGGCATTTCCTTATGTAGAAAATGGTGGATTAAACCTGGTTCTATAGCTAGCTAAATCTCTCACTTGCATGACAGTCGCATGAAATTCCGAGTAGTCGTAACAAAACGTATCGACAAAGGCTTCTTTCGACTCCTATTGCATCGTCACTTTCGGACTGAGAATTTGTTATTGCTTTTTATCAGGCAGGGAATGCAGATTCTTTCTGCTTCGTATGTGGTACCCGTTGTGTTGCTCATCCCTAACACAAAAATTCTTAAACGATACATAAAATCGTGATGCATGTACAATTGATAATGAGAGCCATTAACTTACATTTAGAGAACATTGTAAACTGCTACCTTTTATCAAACAATTGATGGTAAGAAAAGACACCATATAATACGGTCTTAAAATGGGTATGTGTACTCAAAATGCAGGTGCATCTAAAATATTGCTTCACATAAATCAAATTTTCTCAAATGGGAAATTAAAATGATATACATATTGCGGAAAATCAATTTATAATCCGTTCCTTATGAACTTCGAGATGTAAATCAAGATATAAAACATGCTGTGTTTGTTGTTTCCTTTTTTTGGAGTTGCGATAGAAGCGATCAGAATAATAACCATACAAACATACTTTATGAGACTGTCATACAAGTGAGAGGTTTAGCCCTATAAAACCAGGTTCAATCCACCATTTTCTACATTTGAAAATGCCTGTACCAAATCAGGAATATAACATTTGTTATCCATTCGTTTGATGTGTTTTATCATTTGATTTTGCAAACTTATTAGGGACTTACCGTTTTGAATTTTCAGTTCAGTATTTTTGTGATTTTACTTTTTTCTTACTTTTTATTGAGGTATTATGCTGCACAGGTTTAGTTAAAAAAACAGACTATAAAACTGTGTAACACACTTTACATAGAAAAGGTTGAAAGTAAGATATTTATCTTATGCTTATAATGCAATAAATAATCCAATTAGATAGCAAGAAATACAATTAATAAAGTAGGAATTTAGTTTAAAGTTAACATTTCCACATGTTGGCTACCGAAATTAACAAATGTATTACTTTGTAAGTCAATAATAAATAAAAGGTTACATTCCACATCACCATTCTTCTGAATTAAGCATGTTAAATTTCACATTTGTCGCACGATCAAACAATCACAAAATGTCAGTTATTTTGAAGAGAATAACGTATTTGATTTTAGAATATTTTTCATAACTAAAAAAATATATCAATAAATGGTTGGTGCCCTATTACTTCATTACGCGTAAACCATGATTATGCTATCACTGTCGAAGGTTAGTTTTAAACAAAAGGTTAATTCACACTTTACATTATGTAGCGAATCTCGATATAAAAGATATAAAACTTTAAAAGGAAAAGCTGTATTGATGTTAAAATTGAGTTAGATATAGTTTGTATTTAAGTAATATAAGTAATACATGATCTGAAAATCAATCATGTCATAAAACTCAAATTAAGACATGTTAAATAAATAAGGACGTAAATAAAAAAAATATTCTAATTAAGAAATCTATCAACGAAAGTTATGATCATGATGATAGAAATATTATATGGAAATTGATTTTAAAGGTCGGGAATTTTAAAGGTCAGAAATTTTAAAGGTCAGAAATGAAATAAAACAAACACTTATCATTTTAAATATTATAAAAAAAAAAAAACAAACACAACATAAAAAACGAAAAAGGAGACGGAAATATATACAAAAAAGAAAGTTTAATGAGATGAGAAGAAAAAAATGTATTGAATAATGTAATTCAATCTTTTAAAAGAATGTGTTGAGACAAAATAAAAAAAAAGAAGATACGAGCAGCTGTACATCAAGGTTAATCGGAAGGAATTGGCAAGTATAACCGTGTTTAAATCACACAATTTACTCTGAGTTCAGGCAAATATGTTTACTTAAAAAAGTATGGAGGCATGGCAGAATCTAGATTCATAAAAGTTATATATGTGTGTTTTTGAAAAGTAAACACTTTTTTGGCGGTTTTGAGATTCCTAAATTCTATTTCACACAGTTTATAGTACCTTTCTCTTTGTATTTCAACCAAAGATGATGAAGAACTTGATCTTCCTTCACTCTCGTGGGTACAAAAATGCACAATTATCCTTACAAACAACGTTATAATGCTAAGTCTTGTCACTTGATCTACGAAACCTCTTTACCAAATATTGACATCCATTCAGCAAATAAAGCCAGGTTTTAAAGTCACATTACAATTGAGTATTCTGGAAGCCATGTAAATCAGATGTAGATACTAAAAACGGTTTTTAGAGTACATACAACATGTACAACCTTCATCTCTTTCCTCTTGCAAAATTATCACCCCATTTGACACCTCTGTCATTTACACTATAGAATTCCAAATTTTGAACTGAAAGACTGAAAGAGAGAACAATATCCGACGAAGATACAAATATCTTGTTTTGGGTGGAATAAATCATACTTTGTAAAATAAAACACTCTCATTCAAACAAAAAATTCATTGAAACTGACATTACAAAGATGCTTTATTTCTTTTTATTGGCACCATGTTTGTTAGATAACGTGCTTTTCAACAAACTATCAGTATTTCTATGATAACAAAATGTGATCCTCTTCTTGCCGACTTATTCCTTTATTCTTATGGGACAAATTTCATAACGTAGCTTCAGAGGAAGAAAGATATGTAGCTAGCTTTATCCTTTGCTTTACCATGTTTACGTATAGATGAGGTGTTCTCACTTCATTATTCAAAGTTTGACGACTATGTTGAATGCATCTAATCCAGCAAACTTGGAATAAAGGATTCCATAGATACAGTTAAGGATGCCTAATTTCTTGAAAAAACTTTACGATAAAATGGAGGATTTAAGCTTCCAACTCTTGAACGTAACATCTCCGGAGATAAAACAACATTCCCACATATTGTGTATTGACCTCCCAGTTGAAATGATATTTCAGAGCTTGGGTTTCCTATCATGATGTTCTTGATAGAGGATTGCTGCTTAAACAGAATCTACTGACCCAGTGGTTCCAAATGGTAAATTTGTCCCTACGAACGGCTAACAGACGCGATCACGAGTTGGCTGATCGTTTTGCAATATATTTGTCACTGATGATCATATGATCGTATCTACAATCGTTTCATATTTTCCTTGCTTATGACATCACCGAACGAGACTCGTACCGAGATGGACCCATCCTGGAATTGTTGTTTACAATGACTGGAAAAACTAGTGAGGAAGTATCTGCTTACCCTTCCTAACCCAAGTTTTTGGTTTCGTTCGTATTGCTTTGTCTTTATCTTTTACCAGTAGTATTTTATGGACTTTTCTCCATTTCTGTCGTCTTTCGTTTTTTTTTCCATGGATTTTCGTTGTTTTTCCATGGAGTTGTAAGTTTCTCTTCGACTAATGAGTTTTAAATATCCCCTTAGAATTATGGGTTTTTTATATGATAGACCCCGAAAGTAAGATAATTTGGATTTATATAACAATAAACAATTATAATTTACCAGTTAAGGCAATACAGTTTATTTTTTTATGTGGCCTTAAATATTGTATCAAAAGTATAATCTATAAATCAGATTCAGGTATTAATTCAATCAAATGTAAAGGTGAACAACCATAAAACAAGATGTTGCAATGCAAATGCATTTCCGCATTTTCTCTTGATATGTAGGTGTACTTTTTATATTTTGTATTTGGTCAGCAGATGTATATGACAGTTGTTTTTCATTCGTTTGGTGTGTTTGAGCTTTTGATTTTGCAAATTTAAAAAGGACTTTCCGTTTTGAATTTCCCTTGGAGTTCGGTATTTTTGTTATTTTACTTTTTTCATCAAAATATTAAAAGTCATATTTGAAAAATGATGTTGCTGTAAAGATTTAAAAAGATGCAAGTGGTCACATTTGCTTTATTTCTCTACACTATTTCGGGGTTGGGATGACATTCATGTTATATGGCTATGTGAGTCAAGACGAAATATAATTGTGTAAAGTTATATAACTGAAGGAAAAAATTCAAACAGAAAATTATACAGATTTCTCAGATAATCTGTAATGGTACCTTAATTTTTTTTCAGTGAGTGACTAAAGTAGAATTTCCATTGCCTTTTGTTTTTTAAAAGAAGTAGCATATCCTATACAAAAGTGAAGATACCAATTCGATATTTGCATTCAAAGCCTTCCCAGAATTCTAAGGGGACATTTAACTCATTAGTCAAATTATTGTTTATATTTCCAGTAGACTTCCCAATGAAAACATGTAAAAAGCACGACCTTGCATGGACAAAACAATTTTTCATTTCTATAAATTTAAAAAATTGATAACAAACTAACAATTCCATGACAAAAAAAACCCCGATAAACAACGAAAAAACAAACAACAGTATACAAAACACAACATAGAAAAATGGGACTGAGATACACGAACCCCACAAAAAACCAGGGGTGTGAACTCTTGTTTTTCAGAATGGTACGCCGATCCTGTTTCACATGTAGTGCCCCTAATGTTGCTCATGTATGTACAAATCCGTCTATAAGTCCAATTAGGTAAGTCACATAATTGAGAAGTGTATGAATGCTATATGAAAAATAGTCATTAGATGCATAAAACTAATCACGTGCTGTTTTCATTTACGGGGAAGGCTTTAAATGCAAATATCGAAATGATACGCTACATCTTTAAGAATACAAAGTCATATGAAATACTTCTTTAGTCACTCACTGACAAAAAAAAATTAAAGTACCATCACAGTGTATTATTGATTTTTCTTATTTGTCATTACAATTTTTAAGTCGGTTTCAATCTTAGAATTTTATCTAAATCCCACAATCATTATCTAATCACATCAGGGAAAAATTTTGAAAAATATGCTAATAGAAGTCCATAGTTTTTATTGTAGGCTATTGTATCTACTAAGCATCTGTTGAAACTAAGCTTAAGGGATCAGCTGTTAATTTCTGGTCATTAAATTAAATACTGTTGTCCTATCTAATTGTGTTGCTACCAGTAGTAAGTTATATAACGATGGAGGTAAATAAACTCATCATAGATAACAGGCCTACAATTTTGTACGATAGACGCTCGTTAAGTTTACAGAAGACTAATCAGTGACGCTCGAATAAAAACAAATTGAAAAGGCCGAATACAGTACTAAATTGAAGAGCATTGATGACCTGAAATTCCCTAAAGAAATATAAGAGAATATTATTAAGCTTCCATGCCATAGTTTATGACACAATATATTTCTTCTTAAATATTCACAAAGCGCTTCGAAGTTAGGATGATTCTAAATATGGATTACATGCAGCTAAATGTTCCTGTTACAGTCATATCTTAGATTATCTTGACAGAGGATGATGTTTGAATAGAAAAATATCAAACTATTATGCTACCTGATTGATAATAATACGTTGCCAATAAAAGGAGGAAAGGACATATTTTGGTAAACGTGATTTCGAATAAAACAAATTATGGTATGACCCAATTAAAATTGAACACTGTGCTTCTTTTAATATCATAACTATAAACCAGTAAGTGTGAGTTATAAAAAAAGTATACAAACGCAGAATCGCGATAAATTATTATACTGAGGAAATATAATACTTTTATACACGAGCATGGTCAACATTACCAATCGTATTTTGAAAGTTGAAATCATAAGATTAATGTACTGAACAACCTTCTTATTTCTACTAAAAGCGGTATTGTTGGACGTTTATTTTTACATTATGCTTTATTTGGTATTATATCATACATACAAATAGGCAACCGGTGCAATAAGTTCTATGTAAGGATTTATCAACTTTCGTAAAATTCATAATAATTAAATCAACATGCCATGGCATATTTCAAAATCTGCTTGATACGTCCCCTTTTTCCTGCATAGTCGATTTGTATATTGTTAAATAATTATATATAAGTACTTTGTGCATAGTTTTCTGCTTTAATATATTTAATCTCCGTGTAATTTTACAAGTATTTTTTACATTTGATCAAATACAGATATTATTTAACAAATATTATTATGCATCGAATGGTACAATTAAATATGAAACTGTTGAACAAAATGCGATCGAAATATACAATTTTATAACGTCAGTAGAACGTCGGTTAACTCTTAAATAAGGACTTTTACACCATTAGAAAAAAACAACGGACTGTTGTCGAACCAAACAAAACCATGTTGCCATCTTTAATATTGTTGATTTGTTTGTTAACTGGAACACAGGTTAGTAAAAACATTTCTTTTCAAAATACAAAAGCTACAACATGAGTATATGTTTGGAACTGGTAATGACTATGTTTGTTTTATTTGTTAGTTTATATTGGGAACTACAGGATGTTATTATTCAGGGCCGAGAATTTCTACATGTATACGCAATTGGCAAAACCTAGGAAACAACGCTTTTATTTCTTCCATCTCAAAGTCAAAACTAGGTTTTCAAAAACAAAAAAAGAAATAAAGCTCACGATCCACAGTTTGATTTTGTTTGTGTTTATGTGTTCCTTTTTTCTATAAATTTAGGTTGGAAGGGGTGCATTATAAGAAAAACGATTTTGGACGAACATCTCAAATGTTTAATTTATAGATAGTAGAACACATCATTAAAAACGATACGTGAATCATCGGGATGAATTCCGCAATTTATCGCACGTGTTGGAAATAAATTGTGAACATAGTGTAGTATTTTGTAAAACCCGTTTATTTATATAGGTATTTGTTTATTAGGGATGACAAAGAGTATACCTAACTATTACTAGTATGTTACCGACTACTTAGATATAATGTGTATGTTTCATAGACATTTTATTTATTTGACATTTACAAATAAAATAAAAACTGACTAATTCGATCTTTAAAAAAAAATTTTGTTATTCTGTTAAGACCACTTTGGCTTTATGGCCTCTCACGTATACACGCACTAATATATCATTGGCTTTCATGTGTATCGATTTGCCGTCCGTTGCTGATTAAAATTAATTAAAGAAAGCACTTCGAACGAACGGATTTCTAAAGTGCTGTTTTCATCCTCTACCACAAGCATGACTGCACCATCCAGCTGGTTTGATAAGATGATGTCATTAGTATTTGTATTCAGTTTCAACAGTTTGGTGATTTTTCCACTGACTGATGTTAAAACATCAATAAAACAGACTAGGAAAACATATGTGCAATGAAAATACATAACGTACATGTAGAAATCGTAGCAGCAAAGGTCATACAATATGACACAACACAGCACATTCTTTAAATGTCCCCAATGATCAAAATCTTCAATTCAATCAAGTACAACAAAAACTACATTTTCGGACAATTTGACAGTTAATTACCCCTCATTTGTATTCTCAAATGAACTTATGTAGAGTCCTCGATATGTAGAAATGATCGAGGAAGCAAATGAAACCTTCTGAATCCGATGATACTCGCCGTTTTGAACTAGTGGAGGTGAGATGATTTGCTCCGTTAATTATTACTCACTGTAACTTTGAGATGAAAAGCAATTATTATTATCATTTTTATTATTATTACAGCAAAGCCATGTAGATTTGATTTGTCCAGCAGCTCCTGCTCCGTTTGACCCAGTTATGTGTTCAAAAATAACCATAGTTTCAAATTGCCTGACAGACGCTGATTGTACTGGTGGTAAGATATAACGCAAAGTAGTATGAAAGCTCTGTTAGATATAACATACGTGTTTTAAGCTCACCTGGCCCGAAAGGCCAAGTGAGCTTTTCTCATCACTTGGCGTCCGTCGACCATCGTCCGTCGTCGTCGTTGTCGTCGTTAACTTTTATATTTTGAACTTCAGCTAGAGAACCACTGAATGGAATGAAACTAAACATGTCATGAATGTTCCTGATGAGCAGCTGACCAAGTGTTGTTACTTTGTAGCCAATCAATCATCTAAGATGGCTGCCAGCGGGTAACTTAGTTTTACATAGGACCCTATGGCCAATACATACAAATGTCTTCTTTTAGAGAGCATATAAATGGAATGAAACTAAACATGGCATGAATGCTCCTTATGAGGTGCTGATCAAGTGTTGTTTCTTTGTAGCCAATCAATCATCCAAGATGGCTGCCAGCGGGGAACTTAGTATAACAAAGGACCCTTTGTGAAATACACAAAAAGTCTTCTTTAGAAGAACCACAGAATGGAATGAAACCAAACATGGCGTGAATGTTTCTTTTGAGGTGCTTACCAATAGGTGTTACTTTGTAGCAAATCCATCAAGCAAGATGGCTGCCAACAGGGTACTTAGTTTTACAAACCCTATGGGAAATATACACAAATGTTTTCTTCTAGAAAACCGCTTAATAGATTGAAACCAAACATGGTATGAATGTTTCTTTTGAGGTGCTGACCAAGTGTTGTTTCTTTGTAGCCGAACCATCATCCAAGATGGCCGCCAGCAGGGGACTTAGTTTAACATGAGATTCTATGGGACATACATACAAATGCTTCTTCTAGAGGAGCACTGAATGGAAAGAAACCAAACATGGCATAAATGCTCCTAATGAGGTGCTGATGAAGACCTTAATAAACGTATCTTAATAGATTTAGATATACTGTCAACTGTAAAAATATCAAGAAAAGAAGAACTACACATAAGTCAACATGAGCAAAGGTGTGAATTGACATCTTGTTGGAGTAATTGTCCTTATAAAGTCGTTTTCTACAATGTCAATGAATTTATTGATATTTTCTGTAAACTTTACAAAAGTCTTCTGTTTTTGATTAAATTACGGGGCCAATAATATTAAACCAAATTTGGCCTCAATCATTATAAGGATATCTGTTGTGAATTTAATCTATTTTTACATGATTTCCAAAACCAAAGTAGAATCAGGCGAGCGACACAGGCTCTTGAGAGCAATTAGTTATGATGCCATTCATATTTAATAACTCTAATGCTAGGTGATTTAAATGCAATGTCATTTTAAGACGTTTCATCTATCAACTATTGTTTGAACAGCTGTATATTTTATCAACATTATGCAAAAGAAAAAAACTCACAATCGAGAGTGTCGCTTTAGATGGATTTGGCTATTTGTTAGATCTTTTTGGTTTATGCTCTGCAACGTTTTCGGTCCTTATACATTCTTTACTTTCAAATATTCGGCTTTGGGCGTTCCTGATTAAGGCATATCCAGAAAAGCGTTTCGGACGAATCAAATTTATAACGTGCTGTTTTCATCTGATACGATCGCGAAAATCATACAACTTATATTTCATTCTTATGTCGGACCCGATAGTCAATACATGAGGATATGTGGAAGTATTGTCATTGACTATTGGAGATCATACTGCCGTCAACGATGTTATCAGTAAGTACATTTTAGTCTTTTTTTGAATGTACAAACAGTGAGAAAATCCTGTGACAATCGGATACGAGTATTCTAAAATATTGCTCCTAATTTGCAAATGTGTATGTAGAACCGCTCTTGTATAAGAAACAACAAAGATATAAGATATATATATATAGAGAAACAAAATGTTAGTTTACCAGCGAAAGTTTATATATATACTTGAAATTGATTATGTAGATGTGTATTTAGATTTCATATATTGAAAACTGCACTTATACTAGTAATCAAGATGTTCAAAACCATTTGAAGAATACCGGAAGGTAGAAAAGAAATTAAAGAGTAAAAGACAACAACACCATCAAAACTACAATAATATTTAAAAATAGAATTGTTGTAATAAAGTAGTTATGTGGTTTTACTTTCTGTGTTATTGCCTTTATTGTATCTTTAATCTTTGTTTAAAAACCTTCGTGAAAACGAAATTCCTGATTGTACAAAATTACATTTGTTCCCGATTATATCCAATTGCATTTGTCAGAACTTGCTATAGCTTTTAATGTTTCTTTTGGAATAATTCACAGAACACCAGAAATGCTGCCTTAGAGAGTGCAATGTCCTCCAATGTATAACCTTTTCATTTGTAAGTATATCTTCATGTTACACAATTTGATATTTACATATACGTCTTTACATGAATTAATCACAATGCTTTAAATTAAGTTCATTTTTAAATTATCAATCGTTAATGAACGTTTGGCTTTCAATGTCTATAGTGTTTAGAAAACAATTTGAAGGGTAATTTAAACTCACGTACCATTCTCAATAAGAGAGGTATCGTAGGTACATACATTATTACTTTGAATTGCTTTTGGGTGGTCAAATTAAAAAATATGTCACGAAAACGACAGTGGCAGACCTAACAAATACCATAAATTATCTGGAAAGAAAACTATATAGTTCTCTTAATGACAAAATAAAACACTTCATACACATGATGCACTTGTTGCGACAGTAGCGCACAATTCTAATAATTTGAAAGACAAAATATGTAAACGTGCATGTACCTGAACACGTGAAGAGCTAAAGATGACCGTTAGGGAATAACAAGAATGTAACAATCCATATTAGGTCCCCTTTGCCTGATGGTGTTGGTTTTTCGATGATTGATGTCATTGTCAAGTATTTGTTTCGCCATTTCTTTCGCCTAAACCATTTTTATTTGGCCACTCTCAATTTGTTTTTTCGACAACTAACATAAATATTTTTTTGTTAAGAACTTATTTTGCCTTCTTGCATACAAGAAGATTCAGATTACATCATTGTTGTCTCATTTATTTTGATTTTACGTCTTCATCTTCAATCAGTTTATTGGATACTTCATTTCTTGAACAAATAATAAAGCAAAAGATTTTTCTCACGTATGAACCCTGTCTTCAAAACAACAGTTTTCTTTTTCGTACCATCATTGAAAGTAAAAGTTTATCGTTTGAATATGATTAAAACAGGTACGCCACTAATACGATTGTGAATTACAAACTTCAAAACAATTATGTTTATCAAAATTGTAAACCAATCCTTTAGTTGACACGTGACGCTATTTAACAATACATCTTAATTCAACAAAACAATTAAAACCTTTATCAGTTAGTTCATTGTTGCCTATTGCTATCACATGCACTCAGCTGATTATTGATTTTTCTGTCAAAATCGATACGCATGACGAATTCAAGTTGACATCAGAGTATTGTCATATCAGGGAAAAAGTCCGCGAAACTTGAATAAGAATTAACAAGATGGGAGAAGTCGAACTGTTATATTTCTTTCGCCAATCATGATTTTTAATCCCCACATTTTTTCTTTTTTTTGCAAAATGCGAATTGGCGACCGTCAACGGAAACCCGGATTGATGTTATCATTCACGTTACTAATTTTTCTGCACAGATTTACATTTCGACTTTTTATTTCTCTTCCGATACTCGATGCCAAAATCTGTGAGATTAAAAATCTAATACAAACGTTGAAGAACTGCCATACCTTACATCACACTAAAGCTCTATAATGCACACAACAAATCATTAAAAAATTAGAAAATCAAACATTATCAGTTAGCGGAACGAATGAAAACAACTGCATATTCCTGACTTGGAACAGGCATTTTCTAGGGGTTATAGCTTTCTTTAAAGAAAAGATGTAAATGGGAGGGCAAATGACATTGCTAATAATATGCATTTCCTGTACTATTTTAGGAACCGGGAGTTGGAGAACCAGGTCCAGGGGTATGTAAACATATTCTTATGAAGACTTTTCTTCAATTAAATGTTATTTCATGTCTGTTCATATCGCGTATATGTTATTTTAGTTTGGTAACTTCATATAGAATTAATTGATTCTGAAACCTTGATACTACTATCAAACTGCAGATTGTCTGTTTTATTTCATAATTATACTGAACATGTGAACTAGCTATACAACTATTATTGTACGTCACCATACATTGTATTGTTTCTTATTTCTGCTTAAATTACATTTTTTATTTTATTTTTCAAAAGCGCATTTTTACACATAGAAGTACAAGATTTTTACAGCGCTCTTGTTTTTTTGCAATAATCCCACACCATGCTTTTTTCAATTTTATTATAGTAACACACATAATGTGTATCAAATGTATTCTTTCAGGATCCAGCCCCAGCTCCAGTACCACCACCACCACGGGTATATCATTAAATTCTTAATTTAGGATGAGATATATCGGTATCGTAAACGGTACTCATTTGTACTTTTTATCAATAGAATACTGTTCTTACTTGGTCAGCTCATTTTGATTAGATAGTTTCAATGTCTCGTATACGTTTTAAATTCATAAAATGGACATTTACAGAGTGATTGTTTTAGCTTGTATTAATAGGAAAGTGTAGCATCAATGTTACGTATTTTCTTGTAAACAACGGTAAATTGGTATTGAATAATAATATAAAAAAATTGTACTTGATTCAGTTCCGAATTATCTATGCTTGAGAAAGAGTTTCATTTATAAAACAAATCAATCACAATGGGCGATAACTATTTATAAAATATAACAAAGCAAATATAAAAAGTAAAATAACAAAAATACCGGACTCCAAGGAAAATTCAAAACGGAAAGTCCCTTATCAAATGGCAAAATCAAAAGATCAAACACATTAAACGAATGGAAAACAACTGTCATATTCCTGACTTGGTACGGACATTTCCTTAATGTGTAGAAAATGATGGATTAAACCTGGTTTATAGCTAGCTAAACATGCTAAACATCTCACTTGTATGATAGTCGTATATAATTCCCTTATATTGCCAAATTTTTTGAACAAAATCAACAGACATACTAGTATAAGGTAAATATGTCAATAATATCGAAAAACGTAAACGTATTTACTCTATTAATGACCGACAGATCTACACCATTCGTACATGTACACCATGTACGCTTTCCATGATTAATATACAAATTAAATACAAAATCAAGTGTGCCGACTAGCCCGTCAAGTACGCTAGAAAACTTACAAATATAGGGGAACCGGAACGAAAAGCAAAAATATATTTACAACCCTAAATGCTTGGTCACCTGCAGCCTTTTTTCGACTGAATCCACAACGTAACCATCCTTGCTACTGTCACTTTTCCAACGACCGTGCCGTTTCCATACCCTATCATTGACATCTGAATTTGCTACAGCAGTAGCCCTACCTGACCGCATTGAATGCAATCCAAGCTTCAGGTCTTTTGAAACTAGTTTCAGTCTAGCAATAATGCTTTCTCTGGCTGTAGTATAACTAAGTTTTTGGTTTTCATATATAAGTTTACAAATACTTTTAGAACGGAAAATCTGTCTAAAAAGGAAAAAAAAAATGATTCCAAATTGACACCTGAAAGATTCATATATCTCAGAAACATCTCATATGGACAAAAAACGGTATCCCCTTTGGAAATTAAAACCTCATTACCATTACGATACTGGTCGGTCTTACTCTTCTCTATATACAAAATTAAATAATTTGATTTAACTTTAACATTTTAACACAAAAGAGAGCTAATCTCATCGTAACGCAAAAACCCAGCAAAACATAATAAAATCATCGCTAAATCACGAACAACAAGTAAATCTTGGCTATATGAAAACACGCTGCACAATTGCAATAACATATCTATTGAAACAGGGTCATTCTTATGCTTCTTAACCATGTTAACAGTAGCCACCCTCTTAGCAGATCCTTGTAAAGAATGTAAATATGAATTTTTTGTTGGATCTGCAAAATTACTCATTTCATGCGCCCATTTTATACTATAACAGCAGAATTAATTGTACTACATGTAGCACCTGAGTCAAGCAAATAAGTTATATATAAAGCAAAATGAACTGGCTATGCTGGTATACCTTGAAAACTATCTATTTAAATGAATGTTTCCCAACGTTTAAATGCATAAAAGTACGATTTTGCTGTGTTATCGCTTCTACTGTTCACAATGTAACTGGACATATGTTCTGCATAGATAAAAAGTTCAGATTCCTCGTCTACTCCGGCTTCCTTCAAATCTTCCTTTATTTTGTCTCTCAAACATATTCCTGGAAAACAGAAATGAAATCAATAAATCTTACAAGCTAAACTTTAACACGCATAGCAACAAAATTTAAATTTTGTTTAAACATACCGAAAATCCCGTTTCGCCCTCTTCCTCTATGAGTTATCATTGAACCCGGAAAAATCTTATGTTTTGTAACAAAATATTTAAATCCGTTACCCTCTGAAAATACCGGCCAATAAACAGCCGACTTCTATTCGGGTATAACTATCGTACCAACTGCACTATCTTTCAACATCTTAAACTAACTGTAACTAACGAAGGTGGTGGGACTAACCAGTTGTTTTCTTTATCCCAATGCTGTTTGAAAGCATCAACGCCGCTTATTCCCTGACACCAAAACTTGGAATTGAACTTATCACATTTTTTGTTAAATGAAGACACAAAGCGATCCACTGAATGACGACCCCACTCTCTATATACGAAACAGCCATGTTTGTACACCCCAGTCATCGCAATAGTTTAACCTACTAAATGTGTCTGCTGCATATGTGTTATTTTCTATCGGTATCCATTTCGCAAAAAACGAAACATTGTTTTGTTCACATGAATTTTGAATTTCCATGTGTACATCTTGCAAGTGAGTCTTTTTAGTACCTTCAAAATAGTTTCAACATTTTTATTATCACTATGTATTTTTACACTTTGCCCATTCAATGTAGGCAAATTAGTTTTCAAAACCATATGAACAGCCTCAAGTTCTCTCCAAGTAGAACTCTTACTTGTTTCATGTGCATCCCGAGCACCAAACATTTCTACCGTTTTGCTGTTCTTTGCCTAAATAGCTATATATACTCCATAGCCTTCATCTGAGGAATCCCAAACATTTAACACCTTTCCTCGTTTGTCAACTGACTAAATAATGCACCATCTGCATTTCACCTTTCTATATTTGATAACCAAAACTTTAGTTCTACCCCCGCTTCTGGAGTAACCTAGACCGATGCTTCCCATGATGTTCTATCCTGAACAAAGTCATAGGCATACCGAGCCCTTAACCTTACAGTTGTACCCAACACACCCTGTGTAAATATTAACTGACCAATAACTAAAGCTAATAATGTTACTGATATCACCCGTTTGTCTTGTAACCTGTTACACATACAGGATATGCATTTCATTATCCTGTCAATTATCTCTTTTGTTATTCTAATTATACCTTCAGAGGTATCCCATACCATTCCCAAAAAAATTATCACTTAAACGGGGTTCCAGTCACACTTTTCCTCAGCAATAGTAAAACCAAGATCGATTAAATATGTCCTTATTTATGTTATTCTTTGACTAACCGTAGTGCATTCATCATAATTGTTAGCACCACCCAAACCATCGTCAAGATACATAAGGATCCTAATATTGTTAGATCTGCAATACTTCATATTCTCTCTTAAGACTTTTGAAAATATAAAACCTGCTGTAGCCAAACCGAAACACAAAACATTAAGTAATATGTAAAATTTAGATTTTCACTCAAATCCCAAATATGTTCCATTTTCCTGCTGTACCATTATATGACGATAAGCTGACTTCAGATCAAAGGAAAACAGATAATCACCTTTAGAAAACAATCTTCTTTCCACAGTTGCATCCTGATATTAATATCGTAACTGATATAAATGTGGGTTGATGTGACGACAGTGAAGCACTAATCTAAGTTGTGACTTGTAACCGTTAATGGATTAACGACCTTAGGCTTTTTAAATACTTCTGATATACACCCTTTAGATTAATTTCTCGATTTCATCTTTTACAAATGTTTTGTTGTATTTGGCTGATCTGTTATTATCTAATTAAACGTTCTCAGGTAAAGTCTTTAACGGTAACATATAACCTTTGTCAATAACATTTAAAATGATGGTGATTAAATTGTATCAACATTTATACATAAATTATCTGCGTGTGCTTTTAAATAACACCTACTTAGAGTATTAAGATTACTTCTCTTATAACTTTTTCTTTGCCGTTGAATCTCAGGACATTCTTGTTTCCAGTGCCCTTTCACACCACAATTGAAACATCTGTCTGGTTTTCTTGCCATAGCTGCTTTTTCTGATGGTTGGACGTAGGGATGGATTCGTCTAGCTTTCTTGGTCTTTTCAGCCTTCGCCTTTCCTTCTGCTCTGTTTGCAGCCTTATACAATTTCCTTTCATCCTCCGAATCCTCTGCAAGTGGGTTGGTTTCATATTTGTGCAAGACTCACCAGCCGAGCTCGGATGATTCAGCAATACGTATCAACTTTTTCCTATAGTTCATTAAAGCCATACCTTCCGACAACTTTTCCTTGACTTTGCATACGGTGTCCGGTGTTGAATTGTTGCCGTCTTAAAGACTGTGTGCTTCTTTCATTTTGCTCAGCACCTTCATGTTTTGCTTAAACTACTCTTCATTCCCTCGCTTTTTGAATTTGGGCTGTGTTTCTGCAATCTGTTGTTGTTGCACATGCAACTTTCCAATTTCGTTGGAAATAATTGACTTCATTCGGTTCATCATGTCATTTTGATTTACCGTCAAAATATTTGAAACTTTAATTCTGACTTGGTCTTGACGTTGGCTTCCATTTTGATGTGAACTCTTCAAAGGACGGCTAGAAAGTGAGATACCTTTACATGTACACCTTTTACCTGCAATCAATTTTGATTACAAAAAAATCCTGATTGGACGATACCTTTTTTTACAAACCGTTAATACAGACATTTTCCCGCTATGACTAGCCGGAACCCGGAAAAATTCATATTTGTTGTTAAACTATTGTAACATTAGCATCAAACAAAAGATCAAAATGAAAAACAGTTTGCAGTGGAAAGTTCGTGCATAGCTTCTCTTGTAGTATGCTATTGGGGGTTTGCTTTTCTTAAATAATTTAAAATCCTATTTCAAATTACAATAGATTATAATTACAACTTTAAATACATTGTTTACTATTCATGACCTGATGTTTTTATGTATAATGAAGGAATAGATCATAAAGTCCGATTTCACTCAAGAAATTGTGGTAATTAAAATTCTTTGAAAAAAAACCAACGGTTGAATATGACGCTGTTTTGAGATACATTCATTGCATCTAGAGATATTTAAGGAAGTGTGTTTTAAATTATGATATAACAGAACAGAATTCGTCAAAAGTAAAAGACGTACTCTGACTAATATCTAGAAGTGGAATCGTTCTATAATTTATGAATACAATATATTTTTCAACATCGCAGGGACATAAGAAACGGTATATATCATTACACGTGAATATGCATTTTCAGTGTTTATTTTAACTTGTTATTATAAAATTTATGTTTAAGTAATCTCAGTTCACACAATGAAATGCTGCACTCGTATTCATCTGATATTACCGGGAATGTGCCGCTTATCTTCAAAATCGAAAGGTTCATAAATGATGAGTTCGAATGTAAATCATTGAGTCTTCTCGGTCGTCAATATGAATTTTCAAATTTTAGTATTTTTCATGTACTGATTATTTTTCTGAATCGCACCAAAATGGGCGGCCAATTGGCCATCCAATGCGAATAAAAATGCACATATTGGGTCAAAAGGTTAAATCTGAGGCAGCTTGTAGAGAGAATGTGTCTTGTAAAATCCCTTTGTGGGTACGTAAGTGGCCGAAAGAAAAGCTAGATTTCTGCCCTCATCAAATATATTTGACATATCCTGCAGAACGTATCTTTTGTATCAATAGTTAATGGTTCTTCAGCCATTGGATGTTAAGCCAGCAACGATTAACGATACCAATTTTTCTGCACCAGATGATATTGTATAAGTTACGGGTACTAATATCACCTTATTTCTGAGAGCGAAATTTGATAAACTTAAACTTAAACCATACATTACTTACATACATCTCATTTGAACTTTGGTGGACAGTTCTCGCAATGACATTCGTACCACATCTCCTTATTTTTATATTGACACTTTCATTTTCTAAAAGTTCATTTACACAGTCATGTAGTATATAAGAGTAAAATCTGATATCGAAATGTCAACAGAAGGGGCGTGTCTTCATTAAATTTACCGTTTTCTAAATTTCAAATTTGGAATAGTCAATCATCCGAGTCGTTGGATGCATTTCGCCGTACTCTAGTCAAATATACTTGTGTATCATTTTAACATTCCCATATAATCGGGAGGTTTGGCTAGCCTTTTAAACCAGGTTCAACCCACTATTTTATCTTAGAATATTTTGTACCAGGAATATGGCAGTTGTTATCAAATAGTCCGTTTCTATGTGTGTTGGCGTTGTTTTTGTAGCAGTTCAGTGTTTCTGTTGTTCCGTTTTTTTCCTCTTATAGTTGATGTGTTTCCCTCGGTTTTGGTTTTTGATCCGGATTTGTTTTTGCTTAATCGATTGATGAATACTGAACAGCCGTATACCACTGTTGCCTTAATATAAATATAGACAAGACCAAGGTTTTGGGGATTGGGAAACAAACATTTTAGCCAGAATACTTTGTGTGTGAAAAGGGGATTGAAGTGGGGAAGCAGGCAACCAACGGATCCCTTAAAGAAATGATGTAAGAGTGTTTTAACAAGCAGGAAGTGTGGCACTTTCTTCACACATGGCATCGGATTAAACATTTCCATTCTGACCAGTCTCAGCTGCGTACTTGTACACCACCAAAGGTTAACGGACGCCCCACTATGGCAAGAATGTTATTACTGGTCAGAAAAACACCTTAGTGATCAAATTCTTATTCCCCAGTCAACCTTTTGGTGGATCATAATTAAATTAAAAATTCAAACTATGATCTAAAGATGAAAGAAATCGAACATACTATAACAACTTGGACAAACGAAATAATCTCCCCAACGGAAAAATAACAATAATGAAAACACTAAACAAAAACATCAAAACTAAATTATCTATTCCTATCAATATCGAGTCCAACCAATACTAAGCTTAAAAACGAACAACATATTGTCCTTATCTGTGATAACCAACCAGATAAAGTTAAAAGAGATCCTTCTTGGGAAAAATCATTTGACATGATTAATGCTTGCAATTACCTTCAAAACATACAAGACAAATAAGCACATGCATTTTATGGAAGAATGATGAAATGCAGATTAGTAATCAATCATTTGTATAAAAATATTGAACTAAAAAGGAATTTGGCTGATTAGTGAATTATATGAATGTTGAAAATGCATGCCATTCGATAACTTAACTAGTGAAAAGTCAAATATAAAACAAAATTGTGAAAAAAAATGGTCCTCACTTCTCCATACAAACTATAATTGGAAACATATCCATGTATTGACCTTTTATATTAACAAGAACTCAAAAGTGCAGTGGTTTCAATACAGAATAAAAACATCGAATTTAACATGTTTAATGCATTCATGAATTTCTCATCAAAATAAAAGTGAAAGATTCAAATACAGTTTTGTGTGTGGTTGGTCGTAACGATACATATGTAGAACATATGTCAAAATTGTTTAAAACCTTACCTCCTGAATATTGAAAACAAAATGTAAACAGAACTAACTTGAAGCATATATTTTGTTTTATTTGGTTTTCTAACAAAAGCCGATAAAATTGACAGAAGAAACGTAATAATTCTGTTAATAATCAATATATTTATAGAAGCAAATTATCATTGGAACAAACCAATATGATTGCACTAAACAAATATTTAAAAAAGAAAATGTGTTAATAAAAACGTTTATTTTTATAAGAATAAAAGACACAGTAGGGCGTAGAACTGATGGAACCCATATACACCTTTATTATAACAACAAGTTAACAACAGACACGATATGTTGTATACATTAACAATATACAATTATAGCCTTTGTGTGTGGTCGATACGATGATATGTCGACCTTAGAGAAGCATATTGACTGAGCTCGAAGTCCAAGGTCGATTTAACTTCGAATTCACCTTAACCAAAAAGGCTACAATTGTTTTATTATTCATCAACAAATATTGCATGAAAAATGAAAAATTTAGATTTCTAGAATGTATTTTAGTAATATGTATGTCCTGTGAATATGTTTGACCTACGAAAAGCTTAACACAACAGCATTGTCGTGCAACCTGAGTAATAACAAATGTAAACTAGTTTTAACGAATCATAAATTTCTAAAAATATTCAATTAATAATGTCATGTACCATGTATTCTATAAACGTTTGTCCTTAATCTTATTCTGTTTTCCCACTAATCGAATGTACCATGATAATTTTCGAATACTAATATATGGGGAACTTGTTTTTACTTCAATAACGACAGGGTATTTGTCTATTTATTTCACTTTTTTGTTCTTATTTGGAACTAACTATTTCTTTCCATTTTCCATGAATAAAGTATTGTGTTAGTCCAAATAATTATAACGTCGTCACATCATTTATTCAAAATAGCCTTTCAATACCGTCATAGTCATGATAAATGTTTGGACAAGTATTGTGAAAAGAATTGTATGGATTTCAAGATTATATATTCGTTACAAAAATACGTCACTGTTTAGGATGTCCTGTGCTGTCGTTAATGGAAGATGTTCTTTGCTATTCTGCAGTTTGACTGCCCCTCTGGTATCTTTCGTCCCTCTTTTACATGTTGTAACGACTATTATATTATTTATTTGTGCGTTTCTCTGTGTGGAGTTATCCTGAGTTTGTTTGTGCTGTATTTCTATCACGTAGTGTTGTCATTTAAGCGATATTTTGTAACATTGCCATCTTAGCGGGAGGTTTGGCTAGCCAAAAAACCAGGTTCAACCCACCATTTTTTTCTTAAAATGTCACCAAGTCAGGAATTTCGCAGTTGTTATCAAATAATTTGTTTCTATGTATGTTGGCGTTTGTTTTTGTTGCACCTAAGTGTTTCTGTTGTTCCGTTGTTTTCCTCTTATAGTTTATGTCTATCCATCGGTTTTGTATATAAATAAGAAGATGTGGTATGAGTGCCAATGAGACAACTATCCATCCAAGTCACAATGTGTAAAAAGAAAACAATTATAAGTCATAGTACGGCCTTCAACACGGAGCCTTGGCTCACACCGAACAGCAAGCTATAAAGAGCCGCAAAAAGACTAGTGTAAAACAATTCAAACAGGAAAACCAACGGTTTAATCTATATAAAAGAAGAGAAACACTTATGAACCACACCAAAAAAAAAAAACGACAAGCACTGAACAACAGGCTCCGGACTTAGGAATTTAGTTTGTAACCCGGATTTGTTTATCATTCGATTTATGACTTTTGAACAGCGGTATACTACTATTGCCTTTATTTACAATTGTTCGAGGAAGTTATTAATTACGTCAAGATTTAGTGTTTATAATCATATCAAAATCACTGCACTTAATATTACTCCAATATCACTACCATGACTACGTTGCTCATTGTTAATAGTGGGTTTTAATTTATGTATGAAATTAGAATTTCCCACTACACAATTACGTTCTCATTCTTAACGTACAAAAATTGTCATATGTCATTCTGTCATGCATGTCAAATGAAAACAACTCAATGTATAAGGTAACATATTTGCATATGTATTTTTGTCTATTTAAGGATGGAAGTCAAACGACACCAGGTGAGTGTTGTAAAACTTGTAAAATAGCTTTTACATTTTATTTGTTCAAAGAAAACATTATGTAATTTCCTTCTCATTTCGGTTGGAACGTTTACCTTGATGGAAAGCTTCAGTGCCTTTTTATCATTGTATCTTTTTAATTCTCTGGGCAATATGCTTGTAGTAGATTGTATATTCAGTCAAATATTTTATCCCCTGATTTCGAATTAAAAAAGTATCTATGATATAGCAAATAACATTCTTCAAATTTTCAAAATATGGTCCGTCAAACATTTGACTACAAATATGTTCATGATAATTTTAAACAAAAGCTATTAAAAAAATACTCAAATTTCAACATTTAATAATGTCCGAGTGGCATACTCGATACAATTTTAAATATAAAGGCTTTTAACATAATACTTCCTGGTATGATATAAGTTTGTGTTATAGCACTTTTTCCTCGGCCATATAAGAAATCTTGAAAATGAAAATTTTAATTTTAAAACGACACATTTGTCAAATATGGACAAAAACTATGGACCAAGCATTTTTATAATGCATCATAGATTTGTGAAGAGGTAGATTAAAGAACGTAGTTATTGTCTCTTTTCAGCTTGCCCCCTTTTAGACTGTCGAAATAGTGGGTGCCAGTTCGGCTTCGAAACAGACAGAAATGGTTGTGATACATGCATTTGTAAAAATAGTAAGCGAAAAATTATATACTGACCATTAAAACAATAATAATAAAAAATATATATTCGGTTTGAGCGTTCCTGATGAAGCTAAATCCAGAAAAGCGCTTCGAACGCATGCAATTTATAACGTGTTGTTTTCATTTTTTTTGTAATGGCAATTATAAATAAAATTTATTTACTAATGGAATATTTATACAAGGAACGGAACGATGCATGTCATAAGCTATGAGGAATACATTTAATTGTAAGTATATTTATAGTATTAAAATATAAATCATTCGTAAATTCAGTTCCACTTTTTAAATCGTAAATACTGTGGATTTATTAAGTTTCGTGGATACTAATTTTCTTTGATAAAGTAAAAATATTTTTTTCGTTAAAATTTTATTGTTTTACAAAATTCTGCAAGTCAATTTACAATTTGTATTTTATTTAACATTTAAATTCACGGTTCACCTGTACCAACAAATCCACAAAAATTGGTATCCAAGGATATAAAATAAATCTACTGAATTCCAAAAAAAACGTTTCTAAATAAAACCATTTAGAAACATACAGATTAAACCAAAGGGCAATCAAATCTCATAAGTAATGAATCTATGTAAAACACAAAATCTCATAATACATGAATCTATGAAAAACACAAAATCTCATATTACATGAATTATATTTGCATGTTTTGTTAAAGGGGCATTAGCTACGAGATATAAAAAAATTATAATGAAAGTGAATTAGTGAAATAATAATTCGATTTTAGTATGTTGACAGCTAGTTGGTTTAATTTTTGTTAACATAAGCTACGAAACATTGCTGATGAATTATCCACTTGCAAGAGAATAACTCGACCTCATTGACTCCGTATTCATGTGACCTTTAGTTTAACCCCTTACCTAAAGATGGATTACGCAAAAACTAGGCGTGTTCAGCTATTAAAAGGAACAGAATGTCAATATTGAAAGTTAATCATGTTAAACAAAGGTAAACTATTCAGTTGACTGATTCGATCCACAAAAACTCATTCTTATACAATTAAAAACGATCATCAATATATTGTTTAACCCAAAATATGACATCAAACAGACCTAGACAGATCAAATTGCACGTGTTCGTTGTCTATTTGTATCTATATTCATGTTTATAGAGGGTTGTATGACCGTCGGCAGTCTATGGAGGTCACATCGGTGGTTAATTAGATGGCGTCTAAACTAAAACACATACGAAATGTTGATACATATTATCGAGTCCATGCATCATAAATTGCTTATTGTTGACTTTATATAATTTGGATATACGTTTTAGTATGTTATAAAACAAATATGAGCATTATAGTCAAATCGGTGAACATGAATTTGACAGCTAATGCCCCTTTAAGTTGTTGTTTGGTTCATATTCACAGGAAATATCCATTTAGTCACATATTCATATTGTCTTATTTTTGCATAATATTTAATAATAATTCTAACACTCTTAGGTCCCTGTCCTCAGTATGGACCCCCTCCACCAGGTTATTGTTCCAGACCAGGTGAAATATTCATAAAAGATGGAGTTAAATGTAACAGACCCCCTATACTATTTCCTTGTAATGGAGGTAATTTGTGAATTATATGTGATTCAATGTTTTTAGAGGTACCAAAAATTTCTTTGAACATTGTACTTTTATTTCAAAATAAGGGATCAGGTTTCCAAAGTATAAAGATATAACTTTTGTTTTTATTTTTTGTAAATGTAAGAAGACATTAGATAACGTTTTTTGTCATCGATGACATCTGCGTCCAAAAGCATAAATGAAACAGTGTAGTACAATGTATGCAGAATGCTTAAAGTCAATAATAAAACCGTTCTTACAAATATAATGTACTGTTTATTATTATATATTTCTACATTAATTTGTTTTTATATGTAAATCAGTAACGATCTATATTTGCTAGTATTGCATGAATTATGTATGTATATAGTATGTATCTAATAGAGTTGTTCCAATCTGAAAGAGGAAACACATACGTGACATGAAATTAGGGAACATTAGTTTTTGAATGATTAAGAAGATACATATCAAGGTGTTATACAAATACTGAGCTAAGCAAATGTAATTTAAAAGGAGCAAAACCAGGGGTGTCGGTAGGGTAATCATCTACTGCTATGGCTGCCTAAAACGCATCAAACGCCATGCGAATCTACACTCAGTCATCTCCAATATCGTGAATAGGACAATCGAAAAAATTACCAAACAGACGACTTGATAAGTATCTTAAGTATCTTAAGATCTTAGATCGCCAAAACATGTGGTAAGTGAGTTTAGACGCATACACATTGTATCATTCGTGATGTTGAGGTTATGAAAACGACATGGTATTGGTAGAATATTTGCATTGTTTTGACGTCTACTTTAGGATAAGTTTAAAGATAAGATTCGTTTATTATGACAAAATTTGTCACCTGTTTTACCCAATCACTATCATATTGTAAAAGGTTCACACAGTAAAAATGTTTGTTTTAATACAGGAAATCCTCACAAGCCTGGAAAGTGTCCACCAGTCAACCTAGCTGCTTTAACTTGTCTAGCAGGGGAACTTCCGAGGAAATGCAATACTGATCTCAGTTGTCCAGGAATACAGAAATGCTGCAGAAGATTATGTGAATTTGTTTGTTTAAATCCTACTCCAGTTAGTAAACCTGGCAAGTGTCCATTTGTTAATTTGGCTCTTGTAGATTGTTTCGCCGGTCCCTTGCATAGGGAATGTAATGATGATGGAAGTTGCCCAGGTACACAGAAATGCTGCAGAAGAGGATGTGCATTCGTTTGTAGAGATCCAGGTAATATTTTTGAGGCAGTTTCAATCAATATAACCTCTTGAACCTTTGTTTGACCAGTCTAAGACAGTCAGTCAGCATAGGAGTTATCACTTAACTGCAATTTACAAGACGAAAAAAGATATGTCTGTATTTTTTTTGTAAAGTAAAAATGAAACCCTCAGGCCTTCCCTAAAAATATCAATCATATTAAAATATCAATGTCTGATTTGCAGTAATAAAATGTTTATTTGTATATGGGATTTTTTTAAAGAGTAAAAGCAATCAAGTGGTCAATACGATTCAGAAAATTTAAAAGTTTCTGCTTTTGACATTTGATTTTCAGACAAATGTTGGAGCGACAATGAACGCACAATCACGTTTCTTGATAAGCATAAAACACACCATATTGTTTTCTATGCATACATTTAAAGCTTACATTTTAAGAAGGAATCTAATTTCCAAAAAATGTATGTCAAATAAGTATTTATGCGTTTTGTCATAATTCGTTATACGGTTGATTATCAATATACATTTCCTCAGATAGAATTTTCTTATACTTTGCTTAAACGTAGGTTTTCCCATACTTTTTCAAAAATTATTGGTCACCGTGCTAATGTTTAAGGTACAAGTCTACCAAAATTGACAAATTTGGCATTGATTATTCATGAAAAAATACATTTTTCTTGCAGTAAAAGAAATTCGTGAGATAAAAAATTTTGAAATAAAATAAGATGCTTTAAGAAATAAAAAAAAAAAACGGTGTCACCTAACTCGTATAAATAGTATCCTGAAAGAGTTATCTCCCCTTATATAATTCACGGAAAAGTTGAATATACAAACACAAATATTTGGTATTTGTTAACAGTCTTATACTCTTAGATCACTTATTTTTCTTATTTGAAAAAAAATCCCTAATCTATCTCAAAACTTGCAGATTTAAGCGAAGAGCAAGACCAATTGTATACTGCTACTTTACAATCAAAGAATGTGGTATAAATCTATCTTATATTACTCATGACGTGAATTTAGTTGATGTGGACATTTGAAGGAAATGCAAAATAATTATGAAGAATTTAGTTGATGTGGACATTTGAAGGAAATGTAAAATAATTATGAATGTAGCAGCCTTTTAAATGTTTCACGGCGTTGTTCGCTCCCAAAATTAGTGAAAATACAACATGTTCTACTTGAAAATAAAAAAATCAGGATCGGGATATGATATTCATAGAGGATTACATATGATGTTCATCAAACGAGTACATAATTTGTATGATAATAAAACAAACACATCTGTTATCAAAACTAAACTAATTAAAAGTGATATAGAAAATCGACAACCATTGACAAATTACGATAATGTTGAACGTTTTCGTCCATGTTATACTATGCGAAGGGGATACATATTGTTTTATAAGTATTCACTTGTCATTCTTCACCTAAACAATTCCATAGCCTACAGTTCAAATATAAAGTGTGTTTTCTGACATGGATAGTTCTCATCGGCCTGGTGTATGTCTAGCAGTTAACGTAGCTTCTATAATATGAGCAGCAGATGAACGCATGTGAAATGAATTAATATAACGCTCAGTGAAACAATATGGAAAAATACAGTGTCCGTTAATGTTGAAATGAGCATAGTGAACAGCACTCATTAATACAAAACAATTGAAATAGATTTATAAATGCTAGTATGAAATACCAAAATCCATATCCATTATCATCTTTAAATAAGATTTTCTAAAAACAGAGGAAAATAAAATAACAGTTGTTATTAAATAACAAGGTAATGTTGGACAATCTTAACTGTTAGATAAATGAGTAAATCTGAGTTTAACAACAATCATTCACCAGACATAGTTTTGAATGAAGTCTCTTTCGAGCATGCATGCTTCAAAACGAGCACATAGGTATGTCAACTATTTCCATGTCTCTTCTATTCCGTATCTACTTCACAAATAATAAATCATTGTCTTGAAGTATAGAGCCTAGGTACTGGTGTTGTTTATGTTGTTTATCATCTTAATTACGTGCTATAGTGTTCTTTTTTTATTTTTCTTACTCTATTTTCAACCTTGACTGTTTAGTCCTTTTGGGTAATATCCTATTGGCATGGCTGTAATTATATACCCCGCCATTGTGTTATTGTGTAATGGTCATTTTTTTGTAATCTTGTCTTTCATTTTTGTCGTATGTTTATTGTCTGTAGCGTGTCTATATGCCATTTTGTTGTTTTCTTTGTTGTTGTTGACATAGTTGTGCGTGTTTATAGGGATTAAGATATAACACAATGTTGACTGATATACCCCAATTTTTGCATTGTTAACCTATTATGTCTGTTTGATTTGCTCACACATTACGGTCAATATGAAGGAATTCTATTCAATTGTCATACAAGTGAGAGTTAAGCTAGCTATGAAACCAAGTTTAATCAACTATTTTCTACATAAGTAAATGCCTGTACCAAATCAGGAATATGAATTGTTGTGTTTGCGCTAGCTTTTGATTTTGACATTTGATAAAGGACTTTATGATTTGATTTTTCATTGAAATTCGGTATTTTTGTTATTTTACTTTTTTCTAGACATAAGACTTTCCTGATTTTAAAAACATGTTATAGCTTAATGTTCGGTGTGAGCCAAGGCTCCGTGTTGAAGGCAGTACTTTGACCAATAATTGTTTACTTTTTACACATTGTGACTTGGATGGATAGTTGTCTCATTGGCACTCATGCCACATCTTCTTATTTATATTTACTCTAATTTGTTTATGTAGGTTTATTATACAAGATTCAATGGGTTAATGTAATGTTTTATGTGAATATACTTTGTCTTTTAACACGCACATACTAATACAACAGGTGTTTTGGAAAATACTGTTATGAACTCCTCCCAAAATTGGTTATCTTTATTAATGAATTTTAGGAAATCCTTGTCCACCAGAACCAGTGTGTCCCACCTCACCTATTAGCCGAGGTCAATGTGAACCAAGCTGTAAATTTGATTATGAGACTTTAGACGGAGTCAGATGTAAGATTAGATGCACGCGGGGTCCACGGGGGCCTCCACTTGTGCCAGGACAGCCTTGTCCCCCAACAGGGGTAAGTAAGTACAGTCACAAGATAACTAAAGTAATTTAGCAATTGTTATCACATAGTCCGTTTTTATGTATGTTGACGTTTGTTTTTGTGGCAGTTCAATGTTTCTTTTGTTCTGTTTTGTTTCCACTTATAGTTGGTGTGGTTCCCTCAGTTTTGGTTTGTGACCCAGATTTGCTTCAGTCAAATCGATTTATGACTATTGAAAAGCGGTATACTACTATTGCCTTTATTTAATGAATTCTATTGTTCATTGTACAATATCTTTTTCTCATCAATATGCGCAAAAGTAAAAGTGTTGTAAACAAACAAATAATACATTGTAGGCCAAATTGACTTGAAACAAGGACGACACAATCTGTCGTAAATTTCGTGTATAAGCGTAAAGTTAATATTGAATATGAAATTTTTATATCTACATTATCGCTCATTCGATGCGTTTTTTGAATATTGAAGTAACTTTTACTTTTGCAGTTGTGCTGATCTTGATGTTGTTTTTTTTTTTATTTACTTAACATCACCATGTTTCTCTGTATCCTTGATTACTACATGTAAAATTTATTTATACTTACTTAGAAACAAATAACATAATTAAAGTATATACAATATAGGTGAAGAAACGAACGGCAGTCCGGTAATCATTTGACTCATTAAAACTGTTTAAATGCCTCTTCCATCTTCTCAAACATCAATTTGTACAAAAATATTTAAATGAAAATACGAAATATTTATTAATGAAATGCAAAAAAAAAAAAATAATGTATATACTTGCTTTGTATATTGAAATTAAAAAAAAAAGAAAAAATGAACAGAAAAGGTGAAAAATATATTATGATTAAACTCATAATAATCTTGTAATTGACCTTTATGATACTTTAGTGTCCTTTGTTTGGGCCTCCATCTGAACCTAGACCTACAGAACCAGAACCACCGGCACCGGCACCTCCACCACCACCACGTAAGTCAGATATTACAATTCATATCTTACATGTGTAACTTCTATTTCAATCAAAGATCATAAAAGATGTTAAGTTCAACATATTTATAAATACATTGTTATCAGAAAGAAAACATTTCAAGATATTTCAAAAACTGATTGAAATTATTTGAAATTGCTGAAGTGAAATTGAATACAGTTTCTTTATTCAAGTTCTACCAATTTCGCTTTGCCCAAAGACAAGCCACTCGTGCATAAGTAATGTCACGTAGTTTTTGGTTAGTTTGTGATACCGTAAATTGGGAAATTTTGGCGTCGGGATATTTTGGCGGTTTTCTATCTAAAGGCATGTGTTTTATTTATGTGTGTGTAATTTTGGTGCCTCGTCTAATTGATATGTTTAATTTTGGAACAACAGTAGTGAACAAGCTCATTCATATTTGCCTTTATTTACTCGTTTATTGACAAAATATCATTGTATTTCTCAAACTAGAAACACGACAAAGTTAACTTAATGAAGGAAGCGGATACGGATGAAATTGCAAATAATTCCGTATATCCCGGTTCAAAGCTGAAAGAAAATATGAAAGAAAATCTTAAACATTAAAAGAACGTTTTGAATAGATTATTTATTTTTTACAAATATCATATGAAACAAATTTTAATCATCTCTATTGCAGTACAGGTTAATCTATTGGCGATCAAAGATTTAAATTTTAATCCTTATGCCTCTGGAAGTACACGTTAATTAATTGAAGATAAAGGATTACAAGGAGTTTTGATATTCTAACTACCAATAACGGCGTCTAATCAGCAATAGCCTGGCATATTAACATGACATGTGTGAATAAAAATTCATGTTGTGTTTTCTTAACAATTTAAGAATATGTTGTTGTCCCCGCAGATAAAGCCCCAAACAACATCGTTTTTGTGTGTAAATATCATTACATAAATTGCTTGATAAATGAATTAGGTATTGACAATTCACTTGGAAACTCAACATATACCCTCACGACACTTACCAAAGAGGAAATCCTAGATAATCATAGGTCTGTTCTATGTTCCTTTGGAATTTCAACCAAAGACGAAGAACTGGATCTTCCATCACTGTATTGGATACCTAAACTACATAAGTGTCCTTACAAACAACGGTATATTGCTGGGTCTTCCAAGTGCTCCACGAAACCTCTTTCTAAATTATTAACATCTATTTTGTCAGCAATCAAAGCCGGGCTCCAAAGTTATTGTGAAACGGCCTATTCTAGAGGTGGCGTGAATCAGATGTGGATACTAAAAAATTCCAAAGATCTTTTAGAGTACATACAATCTAAGACTCTCTCATCTTGCAATAGTATTAAAACATTTGACTTTTCTACACTTTACACAAGTATTCCCCATTCCAAACTAAAAGACAAATTGAAAGAGTTGGTATTACTTTGTTTCATTAAAAAGAATGGCGAACGTAGATACAAGTATCTTGTCTTGGGGAGGGATAAATCCTACTTTGTAAAGAATCACTCTGATTCAAACAAAAAATTCTCTGAAACTGACATTATCAAGATGCTTCATTTCTTGATTGACAACATATTTGTTACGTTTGGAGGACGTGTTTTTCAACAGACTGTCGGAATTCCAATGGGAACCAATTGTGCCCCTCTTCTTGCCGACTTGTTTCTTTATTATTATGAGGCTGACTTTATACAGGAGCTTCTTAAGAAGAGAGATAAGAAGTTAGCAATATCCTTTAACTCTACGTTCCGCTATATAGATGATGTTCTCTCACTAAATAATACAAAATTTGGTGACTATGTTGAACGAATCTATCCCATCGAACTAGAGATAAAGGATACTACAGATACAGTTAAGTCTGCCTCATATCTTGACTTACATCTAGAAATTGACAATGAGGGTCGGTTGAAAACAAAACTTTACGACAAAAGAGATGATTTCAGCTTCCCAATTGTGAACTTTCCATTTCTATGTAGCAACATTCCAGCAGCGCCTGCATACGGAGTATATATCTCCCAATTGATACGATATTCCCGGGCTTGTGTTTCTTATCATGATTTCCTTGATAGAGGATTGCTGCTCACAAGGAAGCTATTAAACCAAGAGTTCCAAATGGTGAAGTTGAAGTCATCCCTTCGTAAATTTTACGGACGCCATCACGAGTTGGTTGACCGTTATGGAATAACCGTTTCACAGATGATATCGGATATGTTCCTTATGTCGTAACTACAATACCCTTCCCTTTTCACGAATGTGACTTACCGAATTAGAATTTTTACCGGATTTGTAATAACATAAGCAACTCGACGGGTGCCACATGTGGAGCAGGATGCTTACTCTTCCGGAGCACCTGAGATCACCCCCAGTTTTTGGTGGGATTCGTGTTGCTTAGTCTTTAGTTTTCTATGTTGTGTCATCTGTACTATTATTTGTCTGATTGTCTTTTTATTTTTGGCCATGACGTTGTCAGTTTGTTTCCGATCTATGAATTTGACTGTCCCTCTGGTATCTTTCGTCCCTCTTTTTTAAGAAAATTGACAATAAAGTAAAAACTATATAGTGTTGTTGTCAAATTATACCAGCTATTTATTTGCAGATTTAACTATGTATAGAATTGTAGAAAATATACGGAAGATATAATAACAAAAAATATTTTCCTCAACAATTAACATTACGATATAGTCGTACCGGTAAGCGAATTTGGCGTTTCAAAATTTAGTTTTTGCTTTATTTTCGTGTGTTTAATTTTGGCACTTTTATTGGAAGCACCAAATAAACCAAAATAAAACTATAACCAAAATAACTTAATTTATGGTATGTACAAATAGACGCAAAGCTGAAAACATTAAATTCTTTAAACATGTTAAACATAGAGGCAACCATGAGTTTGAACTGCTCACTTTGATGTAGATTGGCCGTAAAGAAAATATATTATTTTCATGTAAATCAAAGTAATAATATATGGGACATTGTAAATACATTGAAACACGATATCTGTATTGTCTTGTTTCATCTCCTTTCATCTGTTCTTAATTATCTTTCTTTACAGACCATCACATTACACTATTTCAAGTATCGTTTCAATTGTTTATATGAATATGCGGAAACGTTATGAGGTATATGACCAAACGAGACCTAACAAGATATTCTAAGGTCAACCCTTCCTGACGGAGATTGGAACACAGTGGCGAATTTAAAAAATGAGCTGATATACCCCCGGGGACAAACGGTCAACCTGATCTGATATCGACCCAGTCATAAAAAATGAAAATAATGATAATTTATACCTTTTGATGCATTCAAAGATCTTATCTAGATTTACCTCCATCGTAAACGTTGAAAGTTGGCAATCAATAAAATCGGTTTTTATAAGTATTACAATGCATTGATATTATTATCATTATTATTATAAAAACCGTATAAATATCCTGGTTGCGACATTGATTATGATCATTATTTCATTATGAATTGGATTGGATCCCAAAATATATATGAGGAATATGCATGATCAAGACAAGTTAAATAAAGACAGACATGCATAAATAAATGACACCCGAAATAAATCTTACTTGAATATCTGTGTTTATTTTAATTTTATACGTTCATAAATTAAAACAATAATCATGGTAGTTTGTCGATTTAAATCTCATAAACACATTAAGAAGACAATGCAAAGTAACAAACACAAACTGTATTGTATTAATGATAAACACAGAATCAGACTTGTATTGATCTATGTCATGTTTATATTTAAATTAATATAGCTCCTGCGGACAAACCTGGTGAATGTCCGTATTTTAACCCAGCGTCTACATCGTGTACACCTACTCGTCCGCCTTTATGTGGAAATGATGGAGATTGTCCAGGAGAAAAGAAGTGCTGTAAGGCATGTGGAATCGGCTGCCTAAATCCAGGTATTTAAAAGCATACATACATCCATCTCAATTTGTCTTTTAGTATTATTTATTTAAATGAACATATTGTACAATATAAAATCAACTATTTATTTCTCAAATAATGTGATTAGCTTTCTTTTTTTATGTCTAACCAACGAATT